GGCGAATCATATAGACAACAACCAAATTAACGGTTGGGGGGGATCACTCTGATGACTTTGCATGTTGACATACTTTTCAAAAACGATCCCTCTGGAGGTGAATCATGGGCTGAGGTGGGTCCGATAGATCCGAGCCGTTGAACACGAATTCTGAGCTTGACATCCCTCCGCCATCAAAAGAAGAGGCTTGCAGAGGGCATTCTGATTCGATAAGACGAAGAGATTCCGCCGCGCTTACAGAAAGAAGCTTTCTGAGGACGACAAGCCAGGTCGCTGCTGCTGAGCCATCCAGCAAGACTGGCTGAACAGTCCAGTTGTTCTTCTAGAATGCTTCTTTTCTTCAAGGTCTCGTATCGGCAGATCAAACGCCTTCTTGCTCGTGTTGAGAGATCTCGTTATAAAGAGCTTTTGGAGCCCCCAGAGTTCGAATCTCCAGACAAGAAGAAATGGTTTGACGACATCGCTTTTCAAGGAGGGTTTTGCAAGCCCCCAAGACGCTGCTCACCGGAGAAACATCCATGCCACTAAACCTAGGTTGGATGCTGGAGACTTTTTTGCTTCCCCAAAAGCAAAATCCAGAGCAGGGTATCGCCAGCACACGGAGCAGGGATGTCGACGCATCTCGTGCAGTCAGCGCCCAGGCAGCAATTTCCGTTTGAGGGATCATGCCGCCAAGAACCCCCGCGACTCCCGCCCAACCGCAGCCGGGCCCCTGTTTCCCCATGAATCGACGTTTTCGCGCATTCTGGCGGTGACTGGCCAATCACAGCTCGGTCTCCGGCCAGAGCGACTTGAATCGATGACTGATGGTCCTTGGCGCGGAATTAGCCGTACGAGCGTATCAAAAGCGCTTTTCAACCAGACTCGCTTTTGCGGCTGGCGGGGAGTGAGGCGACATGTGCAAAGGAAGAAGCATTTTATCTGCAGGTGCACCGAAAATCGCACACACACATACACACACATATTCCCATTTATGAATGGGTGCAGCAACACTATCAGCCCTTTTCCGCAATGATACCTGGGCTTCTCCTGGCGTTCACCTTTTATCTTGTGTTTCGAGCCCAGATTGAATGTCTCAAGGCCGGTGAGCGAGGGACTTTCGGCAAGCGGATAAATTTAGACCTGATCCCTGTTTGCCCATATGGCCCAGGGTTCACGACACTGGAACGAGCTCGGAGGAAATCTGTCATCCTTCTTAGTCTCCGCTTTGACTCCAAAGTGATGTAATCCGCTCACCTCTTGCGCCGTTTCCACTTACCTGGGACAGAACGTGTGATTCACCGAGGCCGTGAGCTCAACACCACCGGCCAGAAACCTCTCCATCGAGCGAACGTGCGACTTGGTGGGAGTGCGCTCATCAGTTTTGCGGAAGTCGATCTTTTGAGAGTGTAAGTTACTAAAATAGAAACACGCTAATGCAGGAGATCGTCAATACCGTGGCGTCAAACCGGTCACGCCGCGTATTACGCGTAATAAAACATGAAACGGCGTTTTGTGGGGAAGGGCGGCTCTGCACCAAAAGCGATCCCACGCGGTTTGGAAGCGAAACAGGAGGCGGAATCGCACCGGTTCGGCTCTCAACGAGCGACGAGACGACAAGCCGGCCTTGGAGACGACAATCGCCAATATGCTGAGGTGTAACTCACCCGTTCGCCAAATATTTCTAAATGGAGTAGTCTGATCAGCTCGACTGTTACTCAGATCCCGCCTGTTCTGTCGCCTGCAATCTGGTCACTGCGCTCGCCAATGCTGTGTGACAGGCATGTCAGTCAGGATGGCACGCGAACGCGACTGGCTCGAGTCAACGACGAGAGAAAGAGAGAGAAGACACAACTGAATTCTTTCTCTCCCACTGTTTTCCTGCAAAAGGACGTGGCCAATAATGGGCTCGCGCGCCATGCAGCCAAAACTTCGAAGCCCGCGTCTTTCCATCAAGTCAAGCCACGGACAGCACAAATGTAACATTGCTGTGGCGGGAACCGTCTCCTTCTGGGAGACTTGAACCTGGTCTAGTGCTTATGCATATTTTTAGCCATGCATATCAGATTGAGACTGATATATATAGGCACGGGACCCGGTCGTCCCAAGGACCGACGGAAGGTTGTTGATTTGTTTTGACTTTCGATTTCAGGGCGATGGACAGAATCTTGACCACATGGCTGATGTTGTCCAACGGGCCTTGATATGCTGTGTGACACCAGCATTTCTCTTGCTGCATGGGCACATGGAATTCGCTCGAGACCTTCATCATTCGTTTCCAAGCCAACGTTCACTTTGCGGAGCGACGGGAAAGGATCACAGTACAGTCAATGCACTGTGGGAGGCAAAGGCAAAGGCCCCCTGTGATTCATGATGAACATGATGCAGTACGAAACAACAAACTGCCGTGAGGTTGGTCTCAACTCCGTCGACTCCCCGGCATGAAACAGGATATCCCAAATTTCTATCACCAGGGATCAATCCAAGCTGCATTTTAGGGTCTTTTGCCAGTCGTCGGTCGAAATATGGCTTCATTTGCTTCTTCTCTTGCTCCAGAGCTCGCGGCGGGAATTGCCCTTCCCATCCATGTCTGTTCCAACCTTGCTTGGCAACGCTGGTCCAGGGTTCGTTCTCTTTGTCATTTGTCTGCATTAGCGGCTCTATGTTTAGACCCAGCTTGAATGGAATCTCATGTAAGGGCTGGGATCTTGGTTTTGTTCCTCCAAAAAAGGTTCCAGGCAAGCCAAAGCTTCCCAAAACAACCAGGCTCTTGGTCATTGTGGCCAAAAACACAGCTTGGCCACTTTCCTGAGTTATTGGAGTTCTCCATGAAGTCATGATTCTTATCAACCTTGCAGTGAATTCATGTCTGCGGGTCCTGATATTGGCATGGATCATTGCATTCTGCAAGTTCAAGGACTACCACCCTCTCAGGCTCTCACCCTTGACCATCTACCCGTGGCGTCAAGCCCAGGCCAGAGGGATTATTCATGCAGGTCTTTGCGCCTCAAATCTGTTGCCTTCTTTCCCATCATTCACAAATGATTTGTTGAAGAGATGTACAAGACAGAGATCGGCCCGTTGCTAATAGCCGAGCGGCGGTGATCTCGATTTCCAACCGCATGCCCCTGCCTTCTTTGCACCCTAGCATTTGTGCAATTAGGCAGCAACCCTTGGAGAGGTTCCTCATATTCTTATTTCATTAGTTACTTGGTTAGCTGCCCGTCGGAGAAAAGAAACAGAATCATGATCCGTGGTTTTCGCTTGGGGCCTGTCATGTTTGAGTTCAGGAGAGACGTGCTTATGCAATTATCCTTGAAGTCATGCCGCAGATGCTTTGGCCGAGCATTCCTATGTTTTTTTTTTTGTCTCATTTTACCACTTGACTGGCGAGCAAGTGCTGCATAAGGTGGGGTAAAAAAAAATCAAAATCCTTGCCGGTCAGAAACGCTTCGAGGTCGATTGTCAAGAGCACGGGGCATGCAATGGTGCCTTGTTACTCGATGCGTGTCAGTTCTTGCAAGGGGTTTTCTCACCACTTGAGCCGAAATTCTCACGCATGGGTTCAAACATGTGGCGAATCAAAATAACCTGGATTCTGCCATGCAGGTCCTTGCTGATCTCTCGCTTGCGCTTGAGCATCGGTCGCTTCGCATCCCAGGTTCATGGCTTCTTTCTTCGATTTACAAGTAGATGGAACGAGGGAGCTGCAAGATTCACCTCCCGAGAGATAAATCCCGCTCCCCCAGTCCCGTTATTCCCTGTTGAGACTCGCTTTGAAAGCTTTGAGGCCCCTTTTTTCCCCGCGTCCTGGGGGATAATCAGGCCGCTGTTGATTATTCTTATCACTCCTAATAACAAATCTCGATCTGATATTTGCAAGTTGTTTCGAGACAGTCCAGGGTCTCGGATCTTCATGCGGCCGGCAACTGAATGCCTGGAGCGGCCGCTTAAATTATACTATCTAGGTATAGATGATTTATCGAGTTTAAGTGGAAACTTCATAGTTGTTCAAAGATCTCTGTGGAAAGATGTCCAGTCTTATTGTTTGTTTCTGGTGCCAAGTACCCTGGGGCCCTTCAAAGGAGTTATTACGTTTGAATGCAATGTGTTCGGCAACTCCGGCAATTCCGGCAATCCTCTCTCCAGGCTCCAGCACAGACGCAGGCAGCCCTTTGGCCTTTGCCTGTTTGTGAAGTTCATTGTCCTGTCTCTCAGAGCACAGATGACAACCCAACTGAAACCATCCAGCACGCATGCGTTGAAGCCTACTTCATTTTGGGGTGCAAAAGATGGTTACACAGGCAAGCCATCCATGCCATCATCACCTTCCCAGGATTTTACAAGTGGCTTTCGGTGCATGAGCAAATGTTGGGGATGCTTTTACATGGATGGGATTCAGTTATCCAACAAGGGTGTCTATTAACTTGTTGAGGTTGCAGTCCACTGTCAATACCTGTGATTCACCTGTTGGCTTCGTCCTTATCAGATGCACTGTGAATGACAATGCCAACCAACACCAACCTTTTCTGCTCCCAGTCATGATGATAAATGGCTTTGGGTTTTTCTTCAGCATCACAGTGGTTTGCTCTGTCAATAGAGGGAAATGAATGTCCAACTTGTTTCCACTTGTTGCTCTCAAAAGCATACGTGATCTCGACCCCATGGACACACCTGAGTTGAGCCCGATATTTGGACCTAGCCGAAACCCAGGTTGATAATTTATGTTTTGCCTGAGAAGCCGCGACAGCAATAACTTCCTGTGAGGCTCAGCTCGGTGTAAGCCGATTGCTCCCCTCAATGAAAAATTCAACCGGGTGAGGAAGTGGTTATGCCTTTAGAGCGACCCGACATATTACCAAAATAAATCTTCCTCGCCCTGACCCTTTCACAACGAGGCAGCCTGTTTCCATTGTTACAGTTCATTGGGGGGGAAAAAAGGCCTTTGATGTGCGGTGCCACTAACCCGGTGGATGTATGTGCGTCGAAGCTGACTTGTTGCTTGATGTACCCGTGGTTGGGAGATCAGTCAACGACTGATGATGCAGAGAAGTGCCAACCAACACTTCATCCTGCAGGTTACGCTGTTCGATAACTAAGTTACATACAAGACAGGGCTGAGACGTTGTCGATCCCCGGGCGGATGGAATCAGCCGCATTTCGATCTCGCCTGATGAGCAACTGAGCTGTTGTGCTGTTGCCAAAGCAATCCGAAAATGAAGAGGGATGGATTTCATAGGACGATTGGGTATATTGGATATGTATGTACATACCAGCATACAGTGCGCTGCCGGAAAGAACCTTGATCTGCGGTTCGGTGGCTGTGACATCCAGAGGACTTTAATCTTCAGAGACAATAACCCACAATGCTGTTCCAACACCAGCCAGCTCCTTGGCGTGCTGCCACTCCATACGTATGCGCCTGGCTCTGTGAAATACCCCAATGCGGCACAGTGGACAGTATAGTTCCCATAACTATCTTCTGCTTTCTAACTCCATCTGGGCGGGGATTTTCAAAGTGCAAGGCCAACGACTGGTTCGGGCATTGGGTGTTTTGCATCTGGTAATTACAAGTAGGTGGTTGAAAGTCCATGTAAGAGCGGGAATCGATACTGGTTTGCTCTCAGTGATGCTTGATTCTCAACATTTGAACGGTCAGCGGCGTTCTGCCCAGAAGGTCTGGCCAGCATTGCTTCCACCCTCTCCATCTTTGATGGTATTATGATATTTCATTCCTTCAGTTTATCACCTCTTGTCGAGAGAGTCACCCTGATTGTATATGAAAGGTGATAAATTCCCTGTTATATGGGTCTAATAAGTTCTGATCTGCTCAAAACCTCGCTGTCGTTCTCAATGATCTAACTGTTCCAGGTACTTGATCCCTGATAGCAAATATCTCAAACTCCTGCACATTAGCGCCGCGCTGGCCGACGTTTCTGGCCGATATCAATTTCTTCTCCGTCAAGCGAAGAACCAAGTCAAACCCAAAAGGCCTGTAGCAGGCACCCGGGCCATAACAACCATTCAAGGCCCGCAATGCAGTGGTTGATGCCTGTAACATGAGACGGCCGGGCTTCCCTGTCGTGATCCGCGAGCAGCGAGCAAAATATCACGTGAAGAAGGCACTGTGGCGGAGTGGTTATCGCGTCAGCCTAGAATCGTGCGATTTCGACAGCTGATCCCTTCGGGGGCCTGTGTTCGAATCACAGCGGTGTCGATTGAGTATTTCTTTTTTTTTTTTACTTTTCTTCCGAGTTCTAGCACCAGAGAACAGGTACTTCTCCACGGTGTGGCATCCTCCAGCGGAGTCAGGTCAAATCTGGTCTGCTCGAGACGAGTGCGAACAATGCAGTCTAAGGAGGTCGCATAGCATTCCACAAAGCGGGATTCTTAACCTAGGTAACTTGATAGCGAGCACTCGTAGTTAGTTGTCCTTGAAGCATATGCTGGAGGACCGGCGTGAAGAAGTACCGAATGCGCAGAAAGGGCGCTAGGAGAAAAGGCCGTGTACGGAGTACATACATTATCCGTGGTTTAGTTGTAGAGTTTCAAAATGCTTGTATTCCGTACCATCCGCTTTGCGCAGATTCAATGACGTCAAAAGACGCAGTTTAGAAATTGATGGGTGTCCGATCTGTAAGATATGTATGACCATGATTACCTTATGTCTTCTTGGTATCCCAATTCGAGAAAGCATCAGAAGTAAATCGAAGCCAAGATGTCGAGTCACAAAGAGGGACAGATATTATCGATAAATGCTGCCCAGCGTCTTGATTCCAGGGGGAAACCGACTGTCAAAGTAGCAGTAACCACGGAGAAAGGTGACGGCATTGGACCACAATTTGTACTGCGATATGCTAACACTGGCTAGGAACGTTCACTGCACTGGTTCCATCGGGTGCTTCCGTTGGAGACTATGAAGCTCATGAACTGCGAGACGAGGATAAGCAACAATATGGAGGCAACAGTGTGCACAAAGCGGTAAATAATGTGGAGAAGGTCATCGGACCGGCTTTGATAAAGCAGCAGTTCAATGTTGGAGAGGACCTAGAGAAAATAGACGATTTTATGATCGTGCTGGATGGCACCAAGAGCAAGAGCAAGCTGGGAGCCAATGCAATCCTGGGGGTGAGCATGGCATGTGCGCGCGCTGGAGCCGCAGAAAAGGTTGGTTGCTACACAACGAGGAGTTAGCATACTGATTTGGATTGTAGAAAATTCCGTTATATGAATTTCTCAGGAATAGGGCAAAAACCGCCGGCCCGTACGTCCTGCCAACTCCCTTCTTCAACGTCCTTAATGGTGGTAAACACTCTGGCAATTCCATGGCATTCCAAGAGTTTATGCTCGCCCCGGTCGGAGCCAACTCTATAACCGATGCAGTCCGAGTAGGCAGCGAGGTTTATCAAGCTTTGAAAGACGTGATCACAAAGAAGTTCGGATCATCCGGTAAGCCTCTCCAGGATACTCAGTAGATTGGTAACCAACAAGTATTTTCTTAGCCATCGGTATTGGGGATGAGGGCGGTTTCGCACCCCCGATTAGGCACCCTACGGAGGCACTGGATCTTCTGACGACCGCCGTGAAAAACGCCGGCCATGAAGGCAAAGTCAAGTTTGCAATTGACCCAGCCGCAAGCGAATTTTATAAATCCGGCAAATATGACTTGGGGTTCAAAACTGAGGAGCCTGAGCCACTATCGTCTGAAAGTCTCCAGGAGTTGTATCGTTCACTGTTAGACAAGTACCCCATCATTCTGCTCGAGGATCCTTTTGCCGAAGATGATTGGGAATCGTGGCGATCCTTTAATAGAGACTGCCCTGTCGAACTCGTTGGAGATGACCTCCTAGCAACAAACGTCGAGCGTATTGAGTTGGCCCGCGACCGAGAGGCGTGTAACTCGCTTCTGTTGAAAATCAACCAAATCGGCACGATTACTGAGTCCATCATCGCGTAAGTCAAGAAGATGCCAGTTAAATCCCACCAATCGTCATGCTTCGATTTTACTAACGTATATTTCTCTAGAGCCCAAAAAGCATATAGCTATGGCTGGCGTGTTTTCGTTTCACATAGGTCAGGCGAGACAACAGACGATTTCATTGCCGACCTAGTGGTTGCTCTATCAACCGGGCATATTAAATCCGGAAGCCCTTGCAGGGGAGAGCGCGTTGCCAAATACAACCGTCTCATGGATATCGAGGATGAATTGGCTCGTTCTCAGCAGCAGCACACGTATGCCGGGGCGGGACAAGGCTCAATATAGTTGTAGGGTGTTAGAGATCTTAGGTGTAGATATCCGTTTCATAACTTTTGGACTTGAACGGGCTTTGTGGATGTGAATGAATTCTTCTTCCATGGCCAGCGCTCGACAGGCAAGTTGGAGCCTGGGGGTAAGATGTGTTGAACGACCTGTGAACTTAGTCAGCAAGCTGCTGGCTAGCATCGGCAGACTTCATCTTTAGAAAATTAGCGTAAGAATTCCACAACCAAGGCACTGTGGCGGAGTGGTTATCGCGTCAGCCTAGAATCATTGGATCTCGAAAGCTGATCCCTTCGGGGGCCTGTGTTCGAATCACAGCGGTGTCGATTGAAAATTTCTTTTTTGTATTTTCAAGCAATCGTTTATTTTTTATGGATAACATTAACAGGTACTTGCCGCTGGCAATTATCATTATAGACTAGTTATATGGTGTAACCACTCGTTATGTGGGTGAGAATTTATATGATAACTATAGAAAAAGGCGCTGGCTTCAACGGTTGAAAGAAGCATGGCTCTCACAAGAATCAGCGAGCCGACATCAACTCCACAACCCATGCTTTGATGAGAAAAAGGACAAGTCAAATGGCCTAATAGTTGATAATTCTTTTCTTGATTTGCTTCACCATCTCTGCTGGCAATTCTTCCTCTTTTATGAACCCCAACGCCAGCAAATCTGACCAAAAGAACAACGCCCTATCCTGTGCATAGGCAAGATAGTCAAAGTCATCCGCCGCTTCTTCGGCTTCAAACTCTTGCTTGACCTGATCGTGGTTGAGCGCTAAATTAATTGGTGTTCGTTGCTCGACGGATGCTGCCGTTTTTCCAGAGATAGGATTCGCGGTTGTAGTATCTGTAGCGTTTGTTGCGCTGCCTTGTCCAGAAAGTACCTTGTTTATACCAGGAACATGGGCTTGCACAATCCCCCATGCCACCCATTGCGCTGAGTTCGCTACCCGCCACAGCCGTGTCTCTCGAAGTAGCTGTTGCACTTCAGCCTCTACGACTGGATCACGACTCTCGGGATCCGTGAGAGGTGGGTTTAGCCCTGGAATATAACTATCAAGCAGGAACGGGGGCGCACGCGGGCTACTGGCATATGCTGGTCGGATCAACGGTGTCTGTGCTTGATGTAAACTTGAACTTTCTGAGAGGTGAGTCGCCAAACCGGATCGATGTTTTAAATATGCGCGAATAAACCCGTTCTTGTTCTTCTATAGTTGGATACCGATTTGTACGACATGCCCACGGCCGCTCCGCATCATGATAATTGTAACACCACTCAGTCTGTGACCGACGATTAATATCAATAGGGAATGGTAGCCTCGATAAGGGGTCTTACAAAGTGGTTCGCGAATTCGACACCACGCATGTTGGCAGACGCGTATTCGAAATCTATGACAATCAACTGCTTATGCTCATTCGCGGGGAGTAATAAAGGCGACTCTTCGCTAGGCTGTAAGCGGAGAAGGTTACCGTATTGCGTCTTATCAAATTAGCAATGGTGATTCGAATAGTTGATCAAAGAGCGGACTCACATCGTTATGTGCAAATACTAGCCGTTTCGAAAGTTCAAAGTCACCACCGAAATGCTCACTCAGCCATTTCCGATACCTATCAACCGTGGCTCGAAAAGTCCGCCAGGGAACGCAGCATACGAAACCACGCTGCCTCCAACGTTCCTCAGGAACATTTGAGGCTTTCTTTTCCGATAAGATTTCTTGATCTAACCAGGTAGTAACCTTCTCGCAACGGTCGACCCATTTATCCCAATTTTGCCATAAGGCAGGTCCGCTTTCCCGTTCTTCTGGGAGCAGATCAATACCATCATGCAATTCTCGCATACGCTTGGCAATCTGTTTCCACGTTTCGGGAATACGCAGTTCATGGCAAGTAAGAGGTTTGGCGTTGAAGTATTGTTCGAAACGGCCGTTGGCGAATGTCCCCAAAACACGAGGCCCAATGTTCTTCTTTCGTAGACGACGGAGGATTTGAAGTTCACGCTCTCTGTCGATAAGGTGTTCGGCTTGTGGGCCATAGACGCGAAGCAGAAGTTTTCTAGCTCATGCATTAGCGATGCTACTTCTAGGGGGACAATAGGAACATACGGTGGGGGTTTCCTCCGAGTAGAATTCAGTGATGAATCTGATCTTGAAGCCAGTGGGAGGTTTTTGGGAGGCGAAATAACATAAACAGCATTGGTTAATGCTCCGCTAAGGCGGATTACTTCCACTTCACCCCCAGATTCTAGCGGCACCCTTCTCCAGCCTTTGATACCCAATGTATGAGCCAAGCGGACAATCTCAGATTTGAACTTGAGCCAGTTTTCGCGATCTTTGGGGAAAGGTTTAGGCGCTAGAGCGTCGACATTGCTATCCGCTTCACCGCCGACATAGAGGAGGGTCTTGGAATTGTCTAAAACCACATCTGCGCTGGGTACTGCCTGGTCGCTGTCCGCATAGTCAGAGTCAGAATGCGATCCCCGCCGTAGCCCTTTAATACGTTGCTTCTGTGCCATTGCGCTTTTAGACCGAATGTTGGAGTATTGCGCGAGAATCCGTTCTAGTTGGTCCAGAGACAACTCCATCTCGCCGGCCCAAGAGTCGACATTTGTCGAGTCTGATCTTTCAGAAGAGGGCCTGTCACTTTCCTTCAGTTTCCGTGCTGCTAGCTTTGCCCTTTCAGTGCGCAACCAGCTGAAAACTTGCAAGAAAAGCGGGCTCTGGCCGGGGCGAGTTTCGTCAGGAGTCCTCGCGCTCGGGCTCTCAGCCTCTCCATGCGGACCGGAAACGTCTAGTTTTGAACCGGCCATTTTGACTGTTCACAGAGTTCGGAGGTGAAGAAGGAGCCTGAGGCAACGTCCGCACTATGAGTGATCCCCTTCCCGCTAGCCCCAGCGCGATGCGGTGCAACCTGGTCCCCGCTAAGACCTGGGAGTGTCTAACGCCTCGGGAGGTGCCGCGGCTAACTTGTCATGTAACAAATGCAGATGTTGGAGAAGAAGGGCTCAGGCACGAATCGTGGATTGAGGGACTGGAGAGCATGTTTGGCGAAGAGGGGCAAATTTCTCGTTAAACGAAAAGATACAATAATGGCCCGCAAACAGAGCAAACTGCAGAATCCACTTGTCGAAGCTTAGCAGTGGCTTAAGATAACTTTATTCTCATCCATGTATAACGAACTTCCTTTGCGATTTCAGCAGATGGAGAGGGCTATAAATGTACCATTTCCTATAAAGTCACCATATGCCAGAATCCCATCGGCTTGGTTGTCTTCCTCTCTCAGCCAAGCTTGTTCCAGTCCAACTCCTATCGTCATATCTACAATGCTGAGTGTGAAGTCATAAGGAAAAATGCATCCATCATCGGGCCGTTTCATGGACCATCTGCTCCACCCATGGTACGAAAAGAGGAAAATAAAAGAAGCATGTTCAGACAATGTCAAAAGAAATTTTCACGTCGCGCATATTCAACATTGATGGGCACCAGAGGACTGATTATCTAAAGGGCTTATCTCCTTGGTAACATTATTTTTTTTTATAAGAATTTAAGCCAAGCCGCAGCACCCATATTTTACTATAATTGATATGTCGACTGAAGTTTCCGGGTAACGTTAACTGGTAGCGACGATAGGAATGCGTTGAAGTCGGGTATCAGACTTTTATATCCTTGTAGTACCTATATCGCTCCTTGTCAGCAGGTTGTCAAACGGCCCAATCAACGTGGAAGAGAGCTTACCTGTTGAAACGAGTGCTGCAAATAGGCAAACTCGGGTTGGCTGAGGGACTTGGTAGGGAAAACCGCAATCACATGGAAGTACTCTCTAAGACACGTTTCCATCGCTTTGGGATTCTGCTGCACAACCTGATTGAACCCTAAAAATGAACTAGATTTTTCCCGCGTGAAATCAACCTTAGCCATCGACCGAAGGAACGTCTCAGCAAATTGTGCGAGATAGGGAGCGAGTTGCTCGGCGCAGCCAGACCCAAGTCGACCGAGAGTGACCGCTGCGTTTTCATTCACCGAATCAGGCACTTCCTCATTGCTCATAATGATAACCAAGGCTCGGTATAGACTCTCTAGATAGGGGGTCATGTCAGCTTTAGCCTTTATTGCGATTTCACCACAAGCCCAGCAGGCATTGTTGATGACACTGAGCCCGCTCGCTGAATCATCATCCCGTATCAAATCTAAATCGAGTTGTTTAATGAGAATCGGCATGATGGTTGGAAGGAAAGGTTGAAGGTGGGAAAAAAGGTGAGTGGCACAGTCTCCAAGTATCGCATAGGATGAAAGCCGGACATCGCTACTGGGATCCTGTAAGCAGTAGCAAAGAAGGTCAAAGAAACCCGGTTGGGAATTTGACACAAGCTCGCCACTTTTCTGAGGATCAATAGCCTGGATGATGCAGCTCAAGAGATCGAGACTTGTTACCAAAAAGTCCTTGTCCGGCTCGTCTCCAGTCTTGTTATTAACGGCGTGAAGGTACTCCTGGATGTTGTCGTACAGGATCTTGATACACCTGGCAAATATTGGTGGAGCGAATTGAGAGAAGGCGTCTCCATAAGCGGAGGCAACGTAACCTAAGCACTCAAGAAGCGGGAAAAGCTCCCTGGATTGGTCTGATACTTTGTTCCACCTGTCAATGAGAGCCGGCATTAAGATTTCGACGAGTTCGGGTTTAGCCAATTCCGACATCACTGAATCTGCCAGCGTTTGCACACAGTCGTAAAGCACATATATGTTGCGATCCTTGTACCTTTGGAAACACAAAACGAACTGGCGAAGGATGGGTTGGCAGTACGGTATTAGGTTTGCATCGGATTTCTCTTCTAAGCTTGTGAAGGCGGAAGCGGCGGCTTCTTGAACTTTCTTGTTATTGTCCAGCATCCGATGAAGAATGCCTTCCATCATAGGCTCGAAGTAACGGCCCTTTTCGCTCGGCTCCAAATTCGCTGCCCATTCAGAATATCTTCCTAAACACCAGCAAGTTATTTTTCTCACAATGGGCTCTGGGTCGGACAACAGTGAGGTGAGATACGGCACGAGTTCTGGCAGGTGAGGCGTTACTGAATTCATGCAGCCATCAGCAATAGCGCCCAGAGCTAGCACAGCGGCTTCGCGATTGGTCCACTTCGCGTGTTTTAAATTATCTCTCAGATAAGGCAGGATGACCTCGAAAACAGACTGATGATAGACCGTGGCAAAAACATCTAGAGCCGTAGCTGAGCATTTTCTGACGGTCCATTCATCCTCAGGGTCTTCCTCCCCAAATTCGGAGTCATCTTCGATCTCGCCGTCGCTAAGCTCATCCTCTTCACGTGTAGACTTGCCGTCACCATTCGGGTGGTCGCCGGATTTCAAGCCCGGTAACCTTGCGCCTTTGGTCTTAGCAAACTGGGGCTTCAAGTCCTCTTGCTTATCCTCTAATTCGGCATCGTCGGCTTCTCCTGCCAATAACGCTGCATCATCTTCGTCGTAAACCATACTCTGGAGCAAAATAGGAATGACTTTTCCAAGGTATGGCACCAATGACGGCTGTAACTGTTTCTGTTCGCCAACGGTCAACCAGAATTCGGCTGCATCCAGTGCCAGTTCCGGATCTTCAGTGTTAGTTTGTTGCATGATGATGTAGTTGACCAAGCCCTCCATGTGTGGAATTAATTTGTCGGGAGCAACATCAACAAGTTGCACGATCGACTGACACACTGTTTTTCGTACGTCTGTATCGGGATCGTTGGCCAGTTTGAATAGTTCGTGAAGGAAATTGTCCAATGCGCCCATTAGAGCATCGGGCCTTGAAGAAATGAACATCTGAACAGTTGACAGAGCCATGGAACGGACTTTCGGACTCGGGCTAGCGGTAAATTCCATCAACTTGGGTAAAATAATGCTTAACGGGCGTTGGCCCTGGTAGTCTTTATCGAGCATTTTCCGGTTATCCTCGCAAACCTTTTGTAGCGCAGACATCGCCGCTTCTTGAGCAATCATCGGGACGGATCCAGTTGAATTCGCGACTAGCGATAGGAGTTCCTCAAAAACAGTTGGCCACGACAATACGCCTCCTTGGTGCACCATCTCTGCTATTATTGTGCCCGATGCGTTCCTTACTTGAATCGATGGATCGTGCAATGCGACCATGGCCGAAGAACGGACATATGCTAAGCTGTTCGGTGAAATCGTTCCATACGCCACCCGCAATTTTGTCTTGAGATTCACCGCCGCGGACACTCGAATAACGGTGTATTGGTTGGCATCGAATCCTAGCGATGGCACGGCTTGTGAAGTAAGGAGGAGGTATGTGAGGTAATTCACAAAATCCGGTGATGATGTCGCTTGTGCAAGCATCTATGTAAAGACACAACTGTTAATCCTCGCGCAACAAAGGGCCATGGCAATTCTGGTGGGGGAAAAAGGGGGCCCCTTCCGGAGCATGGAGGAAGAAGTACTTACCTGCTCGGCATGTTTCTGCAGAGCAGGATCATATCCGTTCAAAGAGTCTTTTAGGAATCCGGCCAGTTGCCTCAATGGCCCTTCCTCTGGTTGCCATGCCATGTTGACAATAGCTTCTAGGAGTCACCTAGCGCTGGAGGAGCCCGGAGTGGATGGACGCCAAATGTGATGCCGGATTGTCTAGTTGTCAAGATCACAACTTGTTAGCTGACGGAAACAAGAAGCTATAGAGGAAACAAGTTTTGATCCAAGATACCTTGCAGTCTGAATATTGAAACTTGGGGGAAGTTATCGGTTTATCAATCTGTTCTGGAGGGGTCCTCGGTGAACTATGCAGTCAGTTATGTAACTAGCTCAGCAACCCAACCAGGTTCTGAAACAAAAAATCGGTGCGCGCCGGCTCAGGCAACAGGCAGTAGACCAGAGGGTAAAGAAACCTAACCGGAAGACCCGGTAAATGCAAGGAGAGAACGGAAGTTGAGTGTGGTGTGAGTGAATTAAAATGGTATACAAGGCGCACTGCAATGATTCCTAGGGTTTGGAGGCAAATGCCCTGAGACCGGAGTGGCACTGTTGCCAAATGCGTTCAGGGCGGTCACGGCTGGCAGAATGGCACTGCAACTGCCTTCGAGTATCAACCTCCGCCTGCTGGCCCGGTGGTTTCGGCCAGTGTTCTGTTCAGATAAAGGCCAGAGGGTGATTTGGCAAGGTATCCATGCATATGGCCTGGTTTCACGTTCTTTGATTTCAGTCAAATGGCCCGTTAGTTGCCAACCCCTCAGTTGAAGGCGCAATCTCTCGCTACCCCGCTACGAGTGGTTGCATTTTGATGCCGGGTGCAACGAATTTGCAGGAATCGGCCAAAATGGATACAAGAAGATCCAGTTTAGGTGAAAGCACAAAACTGTGTCTTGGTAGAAAATTCTTTGACTTCAAAATTCAGCTTCATGGTTGCTCACTTCAAGGAGCCCTATTATATACAACAAGCCAGTAGAAACCGGAGTCCACAAACCTATATGAATACAAAATAAAAACAGGACGCTCTATAAATTCAAGCCCAGACGAGCTTCTTGATATCAAAAACTAAATGTTCCAAGTATCCCGTTTGTTTCTTTGCGTCCAAGAGGGATATAATCTGTGTCTCCTCAACCATTGACAGCTGCTCTCGGTGGCTCAACCCTCGAGATTTGCTCGCGGTGCGTTCGATATCATCACAAATGGCTCTGGCCGCGACCTGTTCAGTGACAGCAATCTTTGCCGGATCCACGAGAGTCACTGACGTCGTTTGAGGAATCTTGAAAGCCATGTACCGGCTAGGCGACTGACTAGCTCCTTTCAAAAGGGATGTGAGGTCCCATTCTGAAGACCGCGCGTTCCCGTCAACTTGTCCCTGGTCGCTTAAACTTTGAAGTGAGCGAGTATTAACCCGTAGCATATTCTTCTTCCCTGGTATATAGGTAATGACAATACCCACGTTCCGCTTTTCGTCCATTTGCGCTTCAGTAAGTGTGGATGAAATGTAAGTTCCGTATTTTATGCTGGTGATGGAATCAAGATCGATGCGTTCAAACGACGTGACCTTTTCCGTATTCCAATCAAAGCGACAACAATACACTGCCGCATTGGTGAGCAAGAGGACCGATTGCTCAAAGGGGAGAGTTCGCAACGTATTAGGTTCCCGAGGGCTAAGCATAGTCCAGCCTCCAACAAGCTCCTCTTTATCGTCAGAGATGACAATTTGACAGCTCGTCTCGATGGCATTCTGCTGTAATTTTGCCATCGAAATACCAGGGTCTGTACTCTCAAGCTCCGTTTCGAACTCGTCAAATACCCGAATCGTCACAAGGCCAAGTAGATAATCAATGCATGCCTGCGAAAAGTAGTCATTGACGATATTGTTGTAGTATCGTGACAGTGTTAGCCCCAAGTCATTAAGCGCTCCGCGATAGTCACGTTTCCGTGTCCTCGTGTAATCTCCTTTGAGAGCGGCAGTGGAGGAATACTGCCTGGATATAGCATCCCCATTATCGGCCCACAGAATATTAAACCACTGAGTCGTGGTGCTGGTCTTTAAATCAATGGAGTAACCCTCTTGATCAAGCTGCCGCTCTAATGCGTGCTGCCCAAAGGCACATTGTGTGACTCCTGTCCGATCCAAGCAATCCATGCAGTTGGTCCGCACAATCCCAGTTTGTTTCTTCAGAATCTGGTTATTTTGAACAACAGTGTCTCCGAAATCATCCAGGGAGTCTGTCAACTTATCGACTAGACGTTTAACGTTTTCAAACCTCATGCCTCGGCACTCGGAGTGGAAATCAAACCATTCGTAGCCAACATGGTCGGGACCAAAGCCTTCACCCTGATTGAATGTTTTCAGGTATTTTTCGTAAGTTTCTCCAATGTTGACTTCAACCCCATGCTTATCGAGAAGGCACACAGCTTGGACCTTTCCGTACCTTCTCTTAATGTCCAGGAAGTGCTTATTGAACGAGAGTTGGTTTGTGGCAACGGAATGGCGGAGAACAGGAACTGGCTTGAAGGTATAAGGAGATTGTGAGAAGTAAAGCGGGATTGACCCGCGTAGCTGCAACAAAGAATATACCTTGTCGGCAGGGTTCCAGGTTGGCCTAGACAAAATTTGCTCTGTCTCAACAGAGTTGGCGGTATTGCCCTCATCATCAACGCCTCGTCGTAAATATCGAACTCCAGACCTTTTCACGGAGCGACGTGATATTAGAGTAAGAAGGAAGCTATCTGGAATTGGTTCTTCAGATCGAAGAAACGAAGGTACTCCAATACTGTGTGTCAATGTAGAATTGCCCGTGGTAGTGTGCGCATTAGAGAGAGGCTCAGCGGTGAATTCTTGCTGGCCGATAAACCCTTGCATGACAGGGAGAGCAAAGTCAATGTGTCCACCTTCGATAAAAGGAGACATCAGATGTCTATTCCAGAAAAACTACAGCTCGATCAGCGGATCTAACCATGACTGCCAGTGAAGGGGCCAATACCAATGGATCAGCTCTAGTTGATAGAGGTAGTTGGGACACTTGGGAGTCTTGGAGCCCAAATCGCCTAGTAATGTCATAATCATAAGAAAAATAGAAGCTTCGTGAGCTAAAGAACATCTTGGTATATCTCAAAAACTTGGGCATTAGCTCATGAGTTCGAACAATATTCTCAATAGTCTCGGATGGCTTTCCGGAAGGGTGCGCCAGCTTCCGACCGGAAGAATCAAATTCTTCAAGTTCCATAGCACCATCTAGTTCGCAGCTTTCGGGGTCAGTTTTCTGCCGGCCGCTGGCAGCTGGGTCGCTGAGGTTTCTAGATGTTACATCTCTAGGCGTTGTATTTCCGTCTTGCCAAAGCTTCTCAAAAAACCACTGACTAGCAAACCTACGATATCGACCCCTTTTCTTGATAACATCTTCAGCAATATGGGTGTCAGTTCTAGCGTCAGTACGAAGGGCTTGCTCCTCTCGGTCGAGAGGAACGGTGATAGCATCGGGGTTGAGATCTTCTTGGTCCAGTGTCTCAGACTGGTCAGTCTCGCTATCTGATGCATCATCATAGGCCAATGCAGCTTCGTTGTTACCCTTTGATGAACGCTGTGCCTGTAGGATCGCCTTTGAGGCGTCTGCATGGGAAGATAGGGGGATGATTGCGACGCCAGTGATTAGGAAAATGGGTTTCCCTAGAATCTGGGCTACCTGCTCTCGGTGGGTAATCGATATCAAAAACGAATAGGAAGCGACGGAAAGCAACCCTATGATTGTAGGTGAGTTTGCAATTCATATCCTGGAGTGAAAATCGCATCTTACCAACAATGCCGTGGGAATCCAGTCGTTCGGCGTGTTTATCCTGATAGTTTATTCCTACTGGCAGCGGTTGTATCCGACGCGACTTGTATTCGATACACAGGGGAGAAAAGCCGCCGCTACTCTTGTTGCGAGCGCCATTCCCGTATGGCTGAAGGATCAACCCATCAACTGCCGCGATGATCAGCAGCTTCCTCACCAAGCCAGGCATTATCCCATATTCCAAAGGATCACACAATCCCATTCACCATTTCGCAAAGATAAAATGAGCGACTGATGATGTTTCTTGGTGATAGCACATCAGATCAAGCGGAGACCCTGCGGCGCATCCAGATGATCACGGACCACGTGATAGTTAACTCGATCCATAATTAACTCGTTAATTATCGAGTTAACCAACTACCCAATTAACCACTCAGCTACATAGTTAACAATATAAAGCAGTCAAGGCTGTATCAATGTCGGACAGAGACCCTGCATACTCGGTACACAACAGGGATTCACCGCCGTGGGATACCGCATACCCACGAAAGGACTGTCCCCCAGCCGTCTGGAGCAAAACAACTGTTGAGACAGGCCATCCACTTTGGACGTGTCACTGCACAACGTGTCTCAGAGAAGAGTTACCCAAGCGTGGGCTCGGCTGCTCGCAGGTTCCCAAGGAGATCGCCCCTGCAGAATCCCGAACACCATTATCATTGACGATCTCTCCACGGAAGAGGGGGAAAGGTTTCGGGAAAATGAACGAGCCAGAGGTTTATATGTTCCGGAGAGACGAACCAGAGTCCCAACGGTATAAGCTTGCCGCTCTTCCTACGGGTTCAGACCTTGGTTGGGGCAGCTGCTGATCCTCGTGATCCCTAGCCTCAATCACCAGCATGCTCTCCTTGCCAAATTCTCTCACCGGGAGCTGCTCCATCGATCGATTGACAGAAGCAAGATTGTGAACGTGGCGGACATCGCTACCGGAACAGGGTAAGATATCTCGAAGACGTTCAAAACTTGCTGATGATTGGGCTTGTAACTGTGCAGATTCATCCTATTAGAATCTGGCTACAAGACCTATCCTCTTTGTTGAAGAACGTCCCGGGGACTGGTCCACGCTACTACCATGGGTTCGACATATCCCCGAGCCAATTCCCCCCAGACGAGGAAAACATCAAATTCACTGTCCACGACACGCTCAAACCCTTCCCAAAGGAGCACTGGGCCCGCTACGATGTGGTTCATGTGCGATTGGTCTTTTTGGCTATCAAGGAGTGCGATATCATGACCGCTTTGCACAATATGACACAGCTTCTGAGTTCGTGACATTCTCCCCCAAGAGCGCTGTTTCCTACCTTTTTGGCTGTTGAGCAGCGCTAACTGGAGCATGCTACTGACAGAACCCGGTGGATACCTGCACTGGGATGAGTTTGACGGCGACAGCTTTTTTGGGACACAGAACATTCCCGGATCGAGTGTCATCGCGGATTATGCCAGGAGCGTTGGGCTCACAATGAGTGTCTCTCAAGTCATACGGGATGCAGCCGAGAAGGCCGGTTTGCAAGACATTTCTCGGGAATCGTATAGTTCTTCCCAGCCGGTCGGACTTACACGAAGATGTGAGGCGATGGTATCTTGAGACTTACCAACGTCTCGTCTATGTAGCTCTCCTTGGGACCCGCGAAGCAAAAGATGGGACTGAGGCACGGGCCCTGACCTCCAAGGTCTTACAGGAAATAGACCATGAATTTGCGCAAGGCCAGGGCTTTGGGTTATCCCTGGCCACGGTTGTAGGTAGAAAACCAAGCTATCCCTTATGTAACTAGTTTCTGCGTTTTTAAATATACAATAGGCTTATTGGTATTTCCTTTTGATATCGGCTCCCCATCCTCCATGTATTTGTGTCCCTAAAATGCAGCGTAAAAATCATTTCCAACACCACCATGAAGCCCACGTTCCCCCAGAAAAGTGTTTCACTAGCATACTTTTTAATACCCGAGTAAAATTGCAGGGCATTACATCCAGACCTTTGAGTTTGTGAATGGGAGGGTCCTCCAACTCCGCATGCTGTATTCGGGAGCGGGTGAAGGGCCTCCTTTAAACCATAGAGCTCCGCTCTCGGTACCTTTTGTTTTGTCAGATTCCACCCATTGACACTCTGTAAACGCCTGCCAAAGGCCCAGCATGAAAGATGAAGGTTTATCGTGGATATACTTGGGCCCTAAGAGAGGCCTGATTGCGTTGGTCGCTTCCTCGGCATGATAAAAGGGTATTCGGCTATCAAAGTCTCTATCAGTCTTACTCGTGGAAATCAGAGCAGGCTGACTTACGGGAAGATATGGTGGATGACATGGTAGTCAATGATGTTGTGGAAAAAGAATCTGCCTATCCAGCCAACATCGCGATCAACAGTAGCAAGGGCGCCACGTAAGAAAGTCCAGGACTGGCCCTCGTATCGAGGCACTGAAGGGTGAGTATGGTGGAGATAAGTGGCAGCCACTGTATCAAGTTAGCGATTTCCTGGCCAAGGCGAACACGGCAGCCTACCAATCCAGTGGTTAACCCAGAGATAGGGCACGACATAAAGGTATATCGTGGTTCTGGAACCAACCAGATTCCCGAGATGCCATAGACCAAAGGCAGTCAGGCCAAGACCTATGTCGGAAAGTACTATTGACCCAAATTCGTGAGGGCTGAAGAGTGAACTTGTAGGGTCGATATGGCTATTCTTGAACCATTTTCCGCGCTTTCGAGGAAACGTGCTTTCCGGTCCTGAGGTGATGTTGAACAGGACGTACCACGGCCAGCCGAAGATTTGCTGGACAATAATGCGAAGGAAAGTTACAATTGGCACGTCCTCGGTCAAATGTTCCAGATTTTCGACGGTTGTCCCAACTTTCGCGGCATAAGTGTCCCGACGCAATGGAACATAGTGGTGATCCCTTTCCATGTGGTTCGCATACATGTGGTGGCGACGATGCGTTGATTTCCACGAGAAGTACGGCGTAAGGAGGGCAGAATGGAGGAGCCAGCCGACAACATCGTTGACTCGTTGGTTCGGGGAGAATGCTCCGTGGCCACACTCATGAGCTAGAACCCAGAGCCCGGTGCCGACAAGGCCTTGTGTAAATCCGTAGATGGCCCAAGCAACGAAGCGGTATACAGGGCTAGGGATGCTGGGAATAAAATGGAGCGCAGCAAGAGCCAGGGCGGCGACGATTGCCAGGTCCCTAGCTACATAGTAGAAGGAGGTCGTATACGAGGATTCAAAGCAATGGGCTGGAATCGCATCCCTGAGTTCTCGAATGCCTGGATCATGTTCGGGGGGTTGGACCTGGAGACGCAGTCAGTCAGTTATTGTCGAAGATACCACTCGTCAAACCCTGCTTACATCGGTCTTTGACACAGTGACTTCCACGGCTGTACCCATCGCGGTGAGTGACACGAGTTGTGATAGAGCGCAAGGGGATTGGAAAGAATTGAAGGGTTTGAAGACTCTGTTCCCTTGGAAGTTAAGGGGTTAAGGGGATGGTTTTGGGGAAGAGAGCAACTAGACGCTCCTTATAATTGTGGCAAGAGTCTAGGCGTCATCCTTCCCCAAGTGACGGTCCTAATGACATGGTATGCGGTGATATTAAAGAAGCGGCAGGGCCGTATGAGCCATTTGCATCAGAAAAGTGCGACGTGCATTGCATTGTGAAGTACGTGCCATCCCGAAGCAGTAAAGTGCAATATTCGGCTGCGATCATGAACCTGCTTGCTGTGATCTCCGTGGTGATATCACCAGGGCCAATGTATATCATGCGGCAAGGTCGATCATGGGAGGCCCCCCAGAGTCACCAGCAGCAAAGCAACGGAGCGGGCTTCCATTTGGACCACGTTGCAGGGGCCCACGTTAATCCCCAAAGGCAGGATTTCAGAGACATGGGAATACGGAGCCGAAACTTCTGGATTCCACCCTTGTGCAGGGTCTTTCGATGCACCTTGCATTTCCCCGGCACCACGGCTTCCCGTTAAGGCATTCCGCATCGAGGCGGGATCGTAGACGACCGTGCCGCGGGCGCCAGACTCTCCGAGCAAAAAGATTTGGAAGCGGGACCCCTGGTTCAACCGTGCGGAATATATTCGATATCGCAGCTGCAAGGCCCATGGCACATATATTGGCACGTCGATACAAATGCCCAAGCAGCGGTCGTATGATTAGGGTTCGCGCGGAGATTGGCGTTCGTAACCCGATTATCGGGTCGCAGGATGCTGGCGACAATGTGGAAATTATTGACATGTCGTCCAGCTTGGACAAGATCCCCTTGTCCAGCTTTATGCGAGTGATATGCTGTGTCAACGGCTATCTTGTACAACGCGCATCCCACGTTGACCGAATGTTTTGGGTGTGGCAGAGGTTACTCCAGATGGCGTGCAACAGGACAGAGTTTCAATGGGAGCATTTGACTCCAATAATGCGCATTCTCTGCGCGTCGCTGGATCAATTTTCCCGGTTGTTTCTCGGGAGGTTCACGCTTGATCGCCTGGGCTGCAACAGGGATCAACCCGCCAGGGCCAAGGCTGGATCGTATCCGAGAGCCCAAGGGTCCTATGTATGTAGTTACGGCGGATGTATGGACCTTGCAGGGCGAACAAGTGAACTAATAAAACTGACTGCAGCAACCGGACAGGCGAAATTGGGCTAAGATATCGGCTTCTGAGGCCAATTCTGAATAGTAATCGAGATACAGCTCATGATTCCAAAGGAAATGCCGGCGGCAATTCTATTTTCCCCGCAAAGTGCTCTCAAGCTTCCACATCCACAGGCTACAACTACAGAGAAACAAACTACTTTGCGACAATGCCGGGATGAAATGATTGTCGGACAGGTGTTGCCTCGAGCTCTACCGGTGAAATGGCGCGGACATTCTTCGAGTCGAGCAAATGTGGGTATTCGCCGCGAGGAGAGGCAGACGGAAGGACGACCACTTCATCCGCGGGCTCCGTCGCCAACTGCTCATCCTTCTCCAGCAGTTTGTATCGGCGTCGCCTGACCCAGAATATACAGAAGCCCAACATGACCGCGAACAACGCAAGCGTCCCAAGGGTGATACTGAGGATCACTTTGAGGCGGCGAGAGCGGTCTGAAGAGGGCGCTTCGCTCGAAATGGGAGGGGTGAAACTATATGGGTTCGACGCTGTTAGCGTGGGCAGATTTGTTGCTGTCGATGTGACGCAGGCTTCGAGTTCCGTCAGCAGGGTAACATTGTGGTTGGTGCACGAGTTATCAACTAAGATATCGGCCGCTGCATGTTCTGTTAGTCGGCCATAATGCGCTGCGAGGGCATCGCGAAGGAATTGACACACCGTTTCGATCTTCGGGTGGACATTTCATCACCAGACAGCAGGCGACGAAGCTGTAAAACTGAGATGATGTGCACACACATACATCTTGATCCTGGGAAGGACATTCCAGTGTAAACCCGTCACCCACACAACCCTTCTAGAATAGGAAAAGTTTGTTAGAAATTCATTGCGAGATATCCCCCTGCAGCCGCGTTGGGGGAGAAAAGCACTTTGGTTGCTGAGGTCCACTCCAGGCCGCTCAAATTTCAAATGCCCGCGCACCTCAATACCTAATAAAAGCCGTGGGAAACACATACCGCACATCCAGAAAGCCCAGTCTCGTCCCATGAAAACACCACCCCGATCAAACCAACAACGGGCACGATTCCGCTCCACAGCCTCATTGTGAACTTGGAAGAGCCGGAGCCCCAAGAGCACGCACCAAAGCCATTCGGAAGGGAGAAAAGAAGAATGCGCGCAGAAACTTTTTGAGGTCGTCGTTAGTTTCCTAGCGAAGCGCATTGCTTCGAACTGTGACATTCGGGTAACTGGCTTTTATCCCTGACAGGGATTGCATACAGACATGCCTCTTCGATGCGTACCGGGGCCATCGAATTGGCCTTTGGTTGGGGCGCTCAACGTTTCGACATGCTGAATCCCCTAGGGCTCATCATATCAATGTCAGCTAGTTATGTATGTCTTGAGCGAGAAATGCGAGAAACGCCGCTGACTTCTCGCGCGAGCCTCTGAAGAGTTTCAAGCCTCGCTTTGAGACGACCTTTTCCCCCCAAACTCGATCCCTCCCCCCGGGCTCTTGGCGGCAGGGGAGCGATTTGAATCTTTGGCTGAGCGCGGGGCCCTGAACGCTCCTAGCTCCCGGTTCTCGTGAAAGAAAATTCACTAGTAGCAAAAAAAATATCCATGTTAAATCCACAGGCACATGTGCCTGAGCAGGCCTGGACTGGTTGAAAGGCCGAGTTTTGCCACGTTGGAAGGGGGCCGGAAGGCGCAGCAGAATCGCTTGTCTTGGGCTGGCACATGGAGGATGACCAGGGTATCACGGCTAGTTATCTGCCGACGTCGTCGGTATGCTGTCAAGTTAGGAGTGTAGCTCTTGGATATCCACGCCTAGGCGTCAAATACGGAGGACGGGAAATTGCTGTCGCGTCGGGATTCAAGGCTCAGCTCGATTCCACGCTTATCAAGACGTGATATCGCGCTGTCAAGAGCGAATTAAATTGGCGATTTATACATCCGGCAGACAAGTTTGCAGCCAGACACAGCAGAGCTAACCGAGACGCACATATCAGAGAAAAATTGAAAAGAAGACCACCAGGGCCAAACCAAAACCGCGATACAAGTGTCTGTCTAAAAGAGGAAAGATAGTCGCATTAATTGGCGACGGCCTCGGCGGGCGTGTCTATAGTGCACCAGCGAAGCAAAACGGCTGAGAAGTTTACATGGAAAGAATCGCGAGAGGAGAACTAATAAACACCCAAATAACTAGCCACTTGGTTGTTTATCTAACCAAAAACACCGTTTAGACATGCAGAGAAGCGCCAAAGGGGAGCACTGAGGAAAGATAGGAGGCCAAAAACGACCTTGGAATGAAACCCGGAACGGCCAAACCTGACTACCCAAACAAACCCCGTCAATCTCCAGAAAGAAATAAAGAGCACCGGGACGATGCGCATGTCGAAATTGGGGTTTCGTAGTCCATCACTGTGGCTGACGGAATCAAAATTCGTTAAAAATTCATGCTCCATTTCACATTGCCGGCCATGTCTCAGACAGGCTGAATGTCGATATCAATGATGATGTATTATAAGTGGAAAGGAAAATTAAAGAAAGGCATAGTTCATGGTTCACCACTTTTGGGGGAGACATGTTGGCGTTCGACATATTCGCTCCCTTTCCGTGACGTGCTGCGCCTCTCACCGTCATCACTCTCTTCCGTCAAGTCTGTGAGACCAAATGCACCAGCCTCCACATCATAAGATCGCATTAACCCTTCGCGGTCACTTGGGCCTTGGAAATACGCAATACTTGACGAGCTTCGACGGTGATCCATGCTTCTTCGATTTTGGAGTGATCGACGAGTTTGTAAACTGGCTATTCCGTCTGTTGGTACACCAGCCTCATCATCGGACTTCCCGTTGATCATCGAATGAGCGTCTGGATCGGTTCGAGATAAGTTCAGAAGGTACACTCCAGCAAATATGATTAGGAAACCACATAGAAGTGAGATAGTGTTGACACTATCAGTGGTGTTGAAGCCATGGAAGAGAATAAAGGACGCGCAAAGAGTGGCGGTTGTAAAAGTAACATAATATAGAGGGTTAACGCTGCATTAGAGTTAGCACGGAATCAGCCAGTTCGAAATGGGGGAAGGAGTATACGGACATCGAAGTAGAAAACTGGCTCAAAGCCTTGTTGAAATAATTCATCTGCGTGAGAATACAACACACGACAACAATGGCGAAAGCATATGTCGAGGGATGCGTGAACTGGTTACTCCCGGCTAAAGTGAGTTTTAACGCAATGCCAAAGGCTTTAACTGCCATAACAGACACGGACCCGACTGTCGAGCAAATAGATATGTAAATCATCGGGTTCTTCTTTCCGTGCAACGGCGCCACTCGATATATCATGACTGTGGAGAATATCGCGACAGCAACGCAGTAAAGCAGAAAACCTACACGCGAAAATAAGCATATGGATGGGAGACATGGTGGTCCTATACTAACCAGGCTGAATAGCATAGGCCAAAATCTCATCGACAGTCTCTATTTCTTCATCTGGCGGGGCATGAAGAACGATGATAACAGATCCAAGAAGAGACAGGGCACACCCAAGCTTTCCAAGTATTCCTAGCCTTTCATGGAGAAAGTAAGATCCAAGGACGGCACTACGACCAGTTAGCCATCGCTGTTTTCAGCAATATCCGCAGTCCTCACTCACCCAATCAGTACACTCAGGGCACCCAACGGTGTCACAAGAATGGCCGGCGCAAAGGCATAGGCGGCGAAATTAGCAACCTCCCCCACAATTACTGATTGTCAAGTCAGTACAGCTGAAACGGTTTACCCCCAGGGCTCATATGCGTACATGTAATAATGCCTCCCCACCATACTGGACTTTTAAGATACGAAAATCCTTCGCCTTCAAATCCGTGTCTTTCTGAGGCTTCTATTAACCCCTATCATATGTTAACACACGCAATAATGTGATGGAAACTGGCGAAAACAACGGGCGTACTTTTTTCGTGATAACAAAACTAGTACCTGTGTTCCTCGATAAGTCAGTGCGCAATTCCCCAGGGCAGCCGCGGAGGCAGTGGATTTAGACATACCGATTGCCATCGTCGACAGGATGGCAAGCGCCAGCCCTACATATCTACGATACCCATATTAGGTCTCTTCTTTGCCCCTATATTTCCAGGATTGGAGAAGACCATACTTGTCCGAAACCATTGTGTTGTACTCCCACGGCCCTCTCCTCCACAGGCGACGGTTGTCCTCCGCTTGTATACAAGATAGCTTCGGTCAACGACCAACGTGCCTTTTCAAGCGGCGGAAAAGGGCCTAGTGCCGATATAAAGCGCAAAGTTCCCGGACAAAAATCGAGCCAGCAATTCGTGTCGGCGGTCGAACGGTCGAGGAAAGGGTTCACGTTAATGATACAAACAGGTCGAAGCGAGTGACAGCCCAGAATAAGCGTGTAATCTAAGTGAATGTCAACGATTCAGATGCGCCGCTGGGTGGTGATTGGAGAGCAGGGGATGGGGGATGCGAGATGGAGCCGGCAGAATAGGTGGTCCAAGCTGGACTGCACAAAGTACAGCCATAGAACGGAGCTGGTATGAATACGAACAGTAGCAGAAGAACGGTAGTATCTAAAGGCTGGCTGTCACAGCAATCAGGCCAGAGTGGCGCGCAATCCAGAAGCCAGCATGGAATCCAGGAACAAGACACTCGTTCGTGAGCCGATCGTCTGTCACATCAACACCAGGCTGGCGGAGTTGTTTCAGGGAAGCACTAGTGTCGGGACGCCGCCTAGCGCCAGCATTACGTAAGTGCAAAACCCGGCCAAACACCACGTGGGGGCTGTCTATTTAGCGCGGTTTGTCTTGCGTGCTGCACCTGAAACCCAGCCAAAACCAAGCCTGAAGAATGATTACATAACTAACTAAAAAAGCTCGGCGCCAAGCATCGGGGCCACAAAGTCGGCACAACACGCACAGCACAAGGGAGCAGTGCGCAAGTGCATCGAGACCGACGGTGCATATAAAAGAGAATTTTCATATTGACGAAGTGCGGAGCACAGCTACCAACATACATGAAAAGGCTAAGGAACGATCTTCATGAAGAACCATCTCGTGCTTTCGAGTGTGGGAACGAATGACGTTAATGATACTGGCCAGAGGCTAGGTATCATATGAGCAATCCCGGAGTGAACCGCTCGCAATCCGACTCTTCAATCAGAAGTAAAGAAAATGCCTGTGCTCTGCGTATGTACGGAGGATCGAGCTTTAGCGTTGGTGTCAGCGTGCCTCGACATTTAGAGTCCACCCTTTGGCCACGCTATCGCAATATTGGGTGTTATCGAACTATGCGTATTCCTCACGTTAATCCCTTCCATCTTAGAATCGGCTAACCTGACTACTCACATTTGGCTTGCAGCAGCGAGGAGTCGAACCGTCGTTGCATTTCTCAGTCCCTGGTGCCCTTTCACCTACATCGAGTGAGCTTTACCCTTGGTAGCAAAACCTCGGAACCAAATCACAGAGGTGGATCCATACATCCACTGCCGATAAGAACACCTTCAACTTTGCCCTCATCTAGATACTTTGCGCAGCAGAGCGGATCACGTCCACTTGGACATGTCCAGACCGCATTGACAACCCCAAAGAGCGCCATGGTCGCAATCGGCAGCAGCGTGGTGAGATGCATCCTGCTAGGAACGTGAACTGTTTGACGGAGCGAGAAAGATGCAAAGGAGATGGAAGGGAATGTGGTAGGCGACGGGTCTCTATATATTACGCGCCCCAAGGTCGGACACACAGGTTGTTGATCGGAAGGGAATAGAGGAACTCTGCGTTGCACCAATACTCTAAACCAGTGCAGAAGAGATCTAGCAGGTTGCACATTCTCGTCAGAGCTAGAATTTGAAGCTCGAGACGAGAAAGTAAGAGGGAGCGCACCATATTCATGAAACGGGAAGTCGTGATAGTGGCTGCGGATTGCCTCTGAAGCTTAAGCGTCTCAGAGGCAGCGATGACCGCATCGTGTGACGGTCCATCATCTCTGGCGTAACCAACCAATCTTTTATTTATGACCGAAAAACTTCCCTCACTGCAACTCGCCACTTTCCCGGTGATCACTGGGGGTTATTTGTTTGGCGGGTGGCCGCCTCTGATCTGTCAGGGTCTTCCATATCGCATATTCTGCCACCGCATCAAGGCCTTCTTTGGTCAATTTACGTTTCTCGCTCCGCGGCTGCTCCCTGCCCCCATCGTCGTCCTGGCAAAATTCCGGTTTCTCATATTTGCGTGTCTTTTCTTTTGAAGATGCACTTCTCTCTTTTTCCTGTTGAGCCCGTTGGGCTTCCTTGACACATGCCTGAAGTGCTCGGTCTCCGGCGTGCTGGTGGTCCCCACACGCCTGGGCTTCGTTCAGTTCAGCAATGCTTGCATGAAGAGCGCGTTCAATCATTTGTTGCTGCTCGTCGTCCTCCCCCGAGTCAAGTTGTGCAAAATTTTTGGCCACATTTTTATGTGGTTGGTTTTGGCTTATGGGCTCACTTTTGTACCTATTAACAAGGCTGGAAAGCAGATGGGTTGCACTGCGTATGGCTTCACGAAAGTTATCAGGAGCAATCTTCTCAATGCCCGCGGGCTCGCTGGTGACACCCCTAGTCTCTTGGTGCGGTTCACGACGCCGTCCGGAGTCGAATAATATCCGTGAAAGCGCTTCCCATTCCTGCGCAAAAGGAGAGCGAGCAGCTTTGGATTCGAGATCCTCACCAAGAGAGTACCATCGACAAAGGGTTTCCTGTCTTTCCTCTTTGGTTGCTTGATTCAATTCGTCGTAACCTTGCTTCGTTCGGCAAGCTACAATATAGCATTCCACGCTTGTGCCCCAGATTTTCTGAACTTCCTTGTGAAGGCCACTGAGGGGATACCCTGCCAGGCCAAATATACCTAGGGATGCGTCCATTAATATGAAAACGTCATATTCAGCTGCCCACGTACCTGCACCGGGTTTGAGAATCAATCCGCCAATGCCTTTTCCGACGCCCTTCATGACTCCTCTGGCTCCTTCTTTCCGTCCGCGAAGTGGCTGGGTGACAAGTCCCGATACCCCGTCATAGATACCGTAACCAAATTCCTAGTACAGTCAGAGAAATTCGGTCAAACTCGAAACGCCGCTTTACCTTGCCAGCCGCCCTCACGCCGCTTTGGAAACCGGTAATCTTTTCCTGTTCTCTCACACTATCATCGCCGTATAGCTTCGGAGCATTGTGGAAGCCTTTTGCTACATTAAGAGCAAAGTTCATAGGCGATTTTATTCCAATTGTAACAAGCTTTGATGCTGCCCGACCTGCCCCTATTATCTCTTCTGCTGTGATTCTGGATACTTGAGATGCCGCCTCTCTACAGTGGTTCAGTAACAGACTCTGCTTTAACAAATCGGGGGGTGACACTAACCCTAACCTCGCTTTGCTCTCAGAATGTGAGATGGGGCTCTGATCCCCATTTTTTTCATCTTCAAGTGGTTCCGAAATTGGATTGTCTGCAGCCAAGTCGATAGGCCAATCGGCAGGCAAGTTAGAAGACGAAGTATCCGACCGCTTCCTACTAGAAGAGGTGGACCGTCGTGGAGTGCTACTACGAGAAGACGAACTCGAAGGGGTTGGAGAACCCGAACTTCCTTTTCGATCCGATAATAATTGGCGATGACGGAATGGAAGAGGACGTATTATTCTAGCCGGGAAATCTGCGAATTCTATCGTGAAATCCACCAAGCTCCCAAGCAGTGCTGCTCCTCCTCCGCTGATGGGATCCCCGTGGGCCAGGTTCAAGATCGTATTCTCTAGGGACGGTGCCCTATAATCGTGTTAGAGAAGCAAGCTCATTTTTAGGGATATCCCGTACAATTTGAGATCTCGCACTTCCAGAATTCCCTCGTTGATCAAAAGTGCGACTGCGAAGGCACTTAGCCGAAATCTAGTGCGCTTTACACGCCAGACAGCAGCCCTTTTGGGAGATAACATGCATCGAACAGTTTCAGGATGGAGTTGTTTGTGGAAGGATTCCACGCCTCTTTCAAGACTGGGTTCCTTTTGGACTTCCGCACCTAATAACTTCGCCCTCATCTGCATTTCTGGCTCAAGAGCCGACATAATTGCGGCAGCTAAATTATCTGCTGTGAGCTGTTTGTGGGGAATAGGGCGTGGCCCAACTCCTGCCTTCCAAACAATCGATCCCCAAAACGGTTGATCTCCAAAGAAAGGCACAATGATGGTTGGCTTGCCGCATACAATACCTGCGGCCGTGGTCCCAGCCCCGCCGTGGTGAACAACACACGACACGCGCCTAAACAACCAGTCATGAGGACAACTGCCCATCATGAAGACATCGTCAGGCATTCCGAGCTTTTCGGCGCCAATTCCACCCCAGCCGCGTGATATAAGAGCCCTCTGGCCTGTTTTTTTGATGGCATCAAATATCAGCTGCGTCATTTGGTTCGGGGAATCTATAACAATAGACCCAAACCCGATGTATATCGGAGGAGGTCCAGCTGCAAGGAATTCAGAGAGGTCGGTCGGAGGAACGTATTTTGACGCCCCCTCAAGGAAAAAAAATCCCGAGATGTCGATATTAGGTCCCCAATCGCTGGGCTTGGGAAGAAGAGTAGGGGACCTATTTGCGTTGGTAAAGGTGGCCTGGCAAATATTATGCGCGGTTAAACACTTACCAGCAATATGTATAGGGTACTTTTAAACGCGGTATCATACCGGGAGCCCACATTACACTTATCGGCTCTAAACCCAAGCTTCTTTCCCGAAACCGGTTTATGATATCTCCCAACCCTTGCCAAGTCAGCATTTCCATTAAAGCGTACGAAACAAAATTGGCTACACCCTTTTCCGCATTGGAGAACTGAATATTGACAAGGGGGTGTGGAAAGGCCTGCGTTGGAGACCACGGCATTCTATCCAAGTCAGGCTTCTACTCCGTGTAACAAGAAGGGTAGATGGACATACGTGAACATCAGATGAAGGGGAATCCCAAGCTTCTCCGCACAATGGATGTGGGCGAAGCTAGGAGGGTTCGCGATGATCGCATCCGCAACAAACGGCTCTTGGTCGCCCATACATCTGGTGAGTGAATCGAGGTCTGCGATAGGTGTCCCGGTCCCATCTCCGGCTTCAAAGCAAGATCGCCAGCAACCCGATATTATTTCGGCTATATCGTTTCGCCGCCTTCCCACGTCCCCATTCCGCAGAGAGTCGAAACCTGGCATCAAGCCTGGGTTTTTTACCATAAATGCCATGAGCTGCGCTGGGTCTACCCCGATACTGAAAAATTCAAGATTGTGGTCTTCGACAAAACTTTTGAAAACCGGATGGGTCGCAATGCGCACGCGGTGTCCACATTGTGTTTTCAGCAGCTGCCCAAGCGCCACAAACGGTTGCACGTCGCCTCTGGAACCAACAATTTGTATCACAATATTCATTCGGGGGATGGGAGCTTCGGCTGCTCCCAGAAGAGAGCTAGGAATAGACGGTCGTTGCTCGAGGACGTCTTCTGGGGGGTGGAGGGTAGGAGCAAGCATGCTGGAAAGCCTTCGCCCCTTTTCCTTGATATTGATATCAACTCGTCCATCGTCTATAACCGAGGTGAGTACCCTCGCAAATACGGCCGCTCACCAAAGCTAGCATGAAACGTACCTGCGACCCGGGCATTTGTTCCAAACCCCCGATGATGGATGTCCATTTCTCCATATTTGTCGCTATAGTAGGGAGGAGGAACATCTTCATCCAGGGGGCTGAATGGCCGGGCCTCTGCAGCGTCCGGCCGCAGACCAGAACTCTCCGGAAACGAGGACATATTTTCGGACAAGGTGCCTTAATGGCAAGACGGATAGAGGCACCAGTCCTAAATTGATGAGGCGGAAACACGGTGATCAATCGCCCTCATCTGAAGTAGTCAACACCTCGACACCTGCTATGGCGTACATGCTCCACGAGAGATCAAAAGGAACAAATGACTGGTATTGAGGCTGCGGCTTCTTACACTAGAGTCGTCTTGGGTTCCTCACCCTTAGGGTTGGATGTAGTGCCTCCAGGGTCCAGGTGTAGCCAGTTCAGTCAACTCGCCTCGTGATGTCATGTTTTAAGTTCCCTCCCATGCCCAAGATTCTGGCAGAAAACGGCGAACGCATTGATTGACAAGACATCACTGTCTGATGGATATTTATATCCATACAATGTACTCGATACGAATTCACTATTATCCTACGAGACACGGGTTCTTTCCAAGCCATATTCCCCGAACCGTGACAATTAACTATTAATCTAGCCGCGGCGCGAAGCACTGACTATCAATGTATATACGCATATGCAAGATCAACCGAGATGGAAAAGCCAGTTAATATGGAACTAGTCGACTGATCATAAACTCGCTTTCCCTCGAGATTCAAACGGCAGGCAGATAACCAAAATCCCTGCTGCAATGAACAATGCACCGCTGACGTACACTGGCGCGGCGGTCTCTAGATTTGCAAACATCGCAATTATGGGCGCCATGATTCCGAACACGCGATTTGCAGCCGCAGTCAGCGCGTTCCCCGTCCCGCGGTCTTTGGTTGGAAAGATTTCCGGTGTATAGGCATATAATACGGCATACATGATATTACTCATGAAGTTATACGCGCAATTCCAGCCCAGCAGGGAATTTGATGTCACTGCCGTTGTCGAAGCAAACAAGAACACGCCAGTCAACACCGTAGAGATGGATAGCGTCCCCTTGCGTCCAAACTTTGGCAGCTCCACCAATGCTCCGCCCAGAAGGCACCCCGGAATGCCTAATACAGCAATGATCAGTGAGTTCCGATATGTTATATACGTCGAGCTGTCGCCAAAATCAGCGCCGCGGGTAGCTTGGATGTATGGTAGGAAGGCATTATAAAGCGGAAATCCAAGGCCAATGAAGGCCCAGACAACGATAATCAACGATGTGGAGAATGCGAGACGTTTGGTCGCGAAGAGGCCATGAACGTGACTGAAATCGAATTTCTCTAGGTTTCGATGTATGGCCCTCGAGGCGCCGGCGCCTCGGAGGGGCCCAAGGGTTTCAAGATGTTCTAGCGTAAGCCATGAAGTTGTCCTGTTGCGCCTGGCAACCTCATGGATCACGCGAACGGCTTCTTCGTCCTTTCCGCGGCCCATCAGGAATTTTGGGGACTCGAAGATTGTGAAGCACGCGAAGCGCAAGAAGAACATCACCATTGCTAGGCCACCGACTGTGATCATGAAGTAGCGCCACCCCATGTTGTTCGAACGCGTGCAAGTGGTATTCTCCTCACAAGTCAAATTCCCAAGCAGCGGCCACGCGATCAAGTTTGCTACAACTTGAGCGAATGCCCAGTCGATCGATAGAATTGTCAGCAAATATTGGTGCGAGCCGGGGAGGAATTCAAGGAAAATGGCTGAATCAACGGGAAGATTTCCACCGACGCCGACGGACCACAATGCCGCAAAACTCGCAATGGCAGCGAAATTAGGAGAACCAGCAGCAACGAGGCCGAAGATCGCAGTTATTCCAATGGTCAGATTGAACGCCCACCGTCTGCCATATATATCACATCCGAATCCCCAAAATACGGCACCCACCAATAGTCCAATATTTTGAGCGAGTGTCAGATACGGGGCCCGGGAAGGGTTAAACTCATTTTTCACAGGCGTAAAGATTAACGAGGTCACAATCGGCCACAGATTATCGCTTGCCCAGCCAAATCCGATCACGACAAACAACTGCCACTGGTATCGACCCATTCCGATGTCCTGCATTGCCTTGTTGAGCAGGCGAGCCTTCGCCTCGTAGATTGGGTCGATACTGCCCTCCAGTAAGGCCAGAGCGGAATCGCCGTCGGAAGGGGACTCTGGTAGCTCGGCCTCTGTGCTTTGCCTCGCTTTAGGGTCATCTTGACGATTGACGTCGGCCATTGCGAGCTGTGCCGCTTTTCTTCGGAGTGGTACCTGATATCCACGTTGGCAGGCGGTTGATGGGCTAGTAAAGATGAGTGACAAATGGGGATCTGCTGGTTTACTCGAATAAAGGAAGGAAAGAGGTATAAATAAATGGACTGAATCTCAGCTCTGAGCCTGGCAGATTTGTGATCAACCCAGCAGAAAGAAAAGTCTGAGAGAGTGAAGAGATCAGGAACCAGAAGCGGGCGGGGGTGCCAAAGCTGCTGAGATCTTTCAATCGAGACTTGCAGCCGCCATCCACTTCGTATCGTATCAACCAAAGAGCGGCGTGATTGCAAACCCCCCCACAGAATTGGATCCAGACAAGCTTGCAATGGACCAAGGTCAAACCGAGATCTCCTGCTCTGGAGGCATTGGTCTGGTTCTGATGACTATTCAGACTCGATAATCCCTTTCCTCGAATACTACAAGAGAAGGCGAAGGGCCGCTGTTCTCGCGAGAATCGAAGGAGCTGTTTTCGGATGCGGTACACATGATGTCATGCCAAGGCACTACCGCAATAGAGTTTGGACGGTCTAGACCCAGTTTGCTTTGTTTGCAGTGTTTGTTCTGATTGCATTATTTGGCTTGTTTGCTTGGATGACTGCTTAGGTAAATTGCAAATTCGGGTTGTTCATTCTTCATATCATAAAAATACATACATGCGCTGGTAGGTATAAGGTATCATAAGTACTAAATGAAATCACAGGAATGCAACTGGGTAATACAATTTGCAAGAAAAAGGAGTCAAGCTTTAGATGTTGCCTCCGGCGGAATGGTGCAAACCCTCGCGAGCCTTTGTATCCTTTGAGAATTGGCCGCTGTGCATTTCCTGTTCGCCCTGTCGCTTGATATTCTCATTTTTTCGCAAGCCTTCGTGATCGTTGGTTGCCTTGTCGATGGCTGCACCTGTCGCTCCACGGATCTTTTCGCCCATGCCCTGAGAACGAAGTGTCAGCAAAGAACCTTGTTGTGAGAAGCAAGTTTCAGGGTATTAACTTACGTGGATGCCTGCTGCAACGCTTTTCAGCGCACCGCCGGCGCCGCCAGACTTGCCGGCTGATGTTCCAGCAGTTGTTCCGGTTGTTCCGGTTGTGCCAGCTGCACCCGTTGTCCCGGTAGTACGATGAGCTCCCGTGGTGCTATCAATGGTTGGATCAACTTTGTTGGCCATGCCGGATCCGTGGGGTCCGTGGTTGCCACCGGTGGCATGAGTAGTTCGCCCCGTGTCGCTATCAACGCGCGGATCGAGCTTGTTGCCCAGGCTGGAGCCATGGGGACCAGTTGTGCCATGGCCGACAGTCCCTCCAGTCGCACCAAAAGCGCTGCCGGTGGTGCCGTGGTGCGCGGTGTGCCCAGCAGTGTGAGAATATCCAGTATTGCTGCCAGAAGTTGGGTCAAGCTTGTTGGCTAATCCGGAGGTGTGGTGGCCGGTATTACCGCCGGTAGCGTGGGTGGTGCGGCCGGTGTCGCTATCAACACGGGGGTCGATTTTGTTTCCGAGACTAGAGCTATGAGGTCCGACGCCGTAACCAGTAGTGGCGCCTGTACCGCCATAGGGCGCCGCCGGAGGTGCTGTGTTGAGTAGTGCCAGCTGTGCGAGATCGCCCCGGTGTCACTGTCCACAGTTGGGTCGAGCTTGTTGAGCATGCTCGAGTTGTGAGGGCCAGCATTACCGCCGGTAGCGTGGGTGGTGCGGCCAGTATCGCTATCGACACGCGGGTCTAGCTTGTTTCCCATGTTGGAGGAGTGTGGACCCCCAGTGTGGCCGGCCATTCCAGTTCTCGCGCCCGTGGTGCTGTCGACGGTGGGATCAAGCTTGTTTCCGGTCACTGACGAGTGAGGACCGCCAGTAGCTGTTGGGAGATTGCCGTATTGACCGCCCTGCGTAGGGTCATTGCTCAAGGGGTTAAGGCCTCCGGTGTTGTTGTAGCTCATGGTTGCAGATAGTTCAAAAGTATATAATAAGTTGTGTATGCGTTCCAAGTCAGTAAGTGGGATCAATTGAGTTTGTAGAATGTAGAGTTGTGTCTAAGTAAAAGAACCCCGAGAAGCTAGATATTTGAGCTTCTTATATACCCTTCGAGCCCCCATTGAAGTCAGTAAGACCGCCAAACCGGTTTGGCTGTTCGCCATCAACGGCAGAGTGGAATGAATGCAATGATTGCTGGGTGACGTCACCGGGGCGTCCCCTGAAATAGAAACACCAACTCCATCATCAACGCTTGGCATCAGGAGCAGAGAAAACTGGAAACCCTGCGACTGGATACGTAGATGGAGGCTAGATCCGTCAAGGATCATCTGGAATACCCCTCGATACACGTACGCGAAAAGCTTGATTCGGCTCTTGATTGGCAATCAGAAAGCTCACGACGTCATGAGCCCCTCTATCACTGAGCGCGACCTCATTCAGGGGGATCGAAGGAGCTCACCTGGTTCCGGCTATGGCGCCGTGAATTTGGAACACTGGTAGTAGGATTGCGACAAGGCACAGGTAAGTTGTGGATAATGATGATGTGGTTGTGCCTTGCCCTATTGCTCAGGTTTGCTTGACCACCATGGCACTCAGCGTCATCTGCTGAGACCCAACATGTATAGGAAAATTACGGCAAGGAAACACGCTGTTAAGAGCTCATAGACTTGGAACCAAGTGCCCAGGGCTGGGAGGCAGCTCGCCAATATCCCAAGCGGCCATCTTCGTGCCCAGCTCAAATTCAATGATGCCCCCATCTTTGATATCATCATGGCCTACCCAGCTCTTATCCCACTGTCGCCCATTGACTTTGACGCTTTGCACGTAATAGCTCTGGTCGCTTAGATTTGTAGCGGTGATGGTTAAAGTCGCATTCTCGCCAACCGAAACGCTTATGTTGCTAAACCAGGGACTCGAAAGAAGGTATATAGGCTGTGTGACAACAGGATATAACCCAAGAAAATTCCAAATAAGCCATGAATCTAAGGCGCCTCCATCACTGTTCCCTAAGTGTAGGTCAGTTAACCGTGCTAATCTAACACCCGATTGGAGCTATTACCAGGGAGGCCTGAAGCGTGTGTCCCATAGTATGTGTCGATGATTTCCCGCGTCCGTTGGACAGTTTTGGCTTGTTTACCCTGGAAATAGTTGTATAGGAAGGGAGTGGAAAAGCTTGGTTCATTTCCCGGGTTAAAGAGGGTTGTTCCTGGTGATTAATAAGACCTTAGCCGCAACATCTTATCTCTAGGGTTATGGACCAGGCCCTTACCGATCCCGTTGGCTCCGCCGGAACCGACACCTGTGGATTTTAGGCCGGGAGTGAACATTGTGTCTAGTCTTCTCTCAGCCATATCCGGTCCTCCCATTAGCGAGATCAAAGTTTCCATGTCAAAAGGGATAGACCAAGAATATTCAATTGGCAGCGCTTCGTAGCAGTGAGAGGTCCATTCACATTCTCCGCAGTCCAGTGGATCGAACCCGGCAGCTACAGTGCCATTTTCCCAGGTCGGTGCAAGATAGCCACTAAAGTTAAGCCGTGCAATATCGCGATGCCAGATCTTTTGCCATCCCGCACTTCGATTGCGGTACTTTTGGAAATCATTGGGGGCCAATTCCTTGGCAACTTGACTCAAAGCAAAGTCGTTGAGCGCGTACTCGACAGTACGGCTAATTGCTCGGCCAAATTTGGGCGTGATATGTCCATATTTAAGCCAATCAGGTAGCGCACCACGTCCTTCTTTTGTCGAACCGGAGGGATCGGCGACATCGAAATTATTGTACGGCTCAGTCTCCGCGTCGGTTTTCATCGCCAAATAACCGTCCGTCCAGTTTATACCGGCTCGGAGGCCTTTAACATAGGCATCGGCTAGGACATTATCTGCGTTGCTTCCGCCCTGAACCTAGTTTATCATCAGCTATTTCAGAGACTCTGCGAGTATATGCCTTACCCTTCCGTTAGAATTTCCACTCCTACCATCTGGCATAAATCGTTCAAATCTCCAAATATCAATTAAGGAACGAATGATCTCGGTAGCTCTTTTTGGCTCTAAAAGCAAGTAAAGGCTGTTAAGACACCTGAACGTATCCCAAATAGCATAATAATCATCGTAGTATGGCTCCTGCGATTCCCAATGTGGGTTTTCGCCTGTACGATTGCTTGGGGTAAGATGAGAACGATATAGAGCAGAATATAGCATTGTTGTCCGAGTCAAGTTGCTTTTATCGGGCACGGTAATCCTGCCGAGTACTTCCTCGTTCCATCGCTCCTTTGCGGCGCTGGTGGTGTCATTGAGTTTCCAGGAAGGAATCTCTTTTATGAACTCACACGCCTTCTCCGTTGAAATAAACGATACACCTACCTTTGACCTAACTTTTGTGATGTTGTGCGGAAACTCAAATAGAACTCCAATTCTATGAGCATAATTATAACCTTCCCGTCCACCCTTGATAGTTTGTTGCTCAGAAAAAGAGACTTCAACGGGGATATCATAGTAAGGGTCAGTATAAGGCGCTTTCCATAGCCTGCTTAGCACAGGTTCGGTGTCAAAAATCCCACACATGAAGAGTTGATAATTAGGCCCTACTAGATGTTAACTTGAAACGGGCCGACTCTTTGCCTGGAAACTCGCCTTTATTCCATCCACCTCTCCAGATTCCATGGCCTGTATAAATCCGGCCATTTTCCTCTAGCTGCAGCTTTCCATTACTATAGAACTGGTTGGCATGCACTTCCCCGTGCGCTGGGAGGTAATGGCTAACATCAACGAGGGCATATTTTTTCCCGGAGTCCGGATACGTATACTCAAGGATGCCGGCATGATCTGAAGCAGACATCTCTACAGTCACACCGTTTTGCAAATGTGTTCTATAATATCCAACGGAAGCGGAGTCTCTGCCAATTCGGCGCTGCATGTACGTTTTGTTATCAGCAAGGCTGACCCCATCAAGTGAGGTCAAAGGCATTTGCGATATAACTCCTAAAGTTGATATTTGTCAATTGAGATTCGAACTCGACTCCATCTGGTGGGAATACCGTATTTTGGGGCCCCTCCCGTTCCACTGACGTGCAACATAGAGATCGCGGTGACATTTCCATTTGGCGAGTATCCTGCATTCACATCCACTGGCGAAAACTGATCCAGGTCATGGCTTCACAGCTACCGTTAGACTTTGATCATTAAACCGAAATATACGCATATGCTGGACGCACACAGCAGTATCAATTCCAACCTTCACAACCCCGAAGGGAAGGCTGGGTTTGGGGAATTAGTAATTATTGGATACTCGGCAAAGAATACCCCTTACGATGCTCCAGGGAAGACATTTCCCCCGTTGAAGGAAGTGCCGGCAACACTGCCTTCAGTCCCGATGAAAGGATCAACGTATTGTGTCAAGTCTTCAGATGTTGCTGCTGTCGGCTGACGAAGATGCGCCAAGGCCCGAAGTAGAGACAAGCTTAAAACGCCAAGCATTCCGCTCAACTTTATTTCTTCAACACGAAACGAACAATTGGGATTTGGAGGAACTCTTGGAGTCGGTTTCTTTATCATGTAGGATTGGTATGCTGTACTTTGAGCGTGAAATTCTTAGTTTTAATATTACTTGACCGCAGCTCCTAGGGATGCCGTGTCACCCACAGCCTTGGGGATCAGCGTGAGTGTTACCAGCCAACTTGCGATTCACCCTCAACCTGACATGACTAAATGATGCAAGAGAGGGAATACGGCGTCGGAAATGGATTTATCCCAAATGAGGACAGATTTTGCTACAACAAAGCGACGACGATATATTGTACGACCGAAATACGAGTAGGGGTAGGTTATCTCGTGGGATGCATCAACAAGGGATTTTGCCCTGTAGCCTATCCTGATTCCTCGGGCCACAAACTGGGGAGTGAAGGGTCAATTAACGTGCAAAGCCAAGGTCTAGACGGTTGTCCAAAGAGCGGCACACAGTAGAGCCGTCTGCGTCTCCCAGATATACCCCATTTGACAATCATTGAAAAGCGCTCGTCCCCCATTAGCAGGAGCTTGATTTTGTCCATGGTTGCTTGGGGGGTGTGGTATAGGTGACCTGTAATATAGTCTCCAGAGTCACATAGTCTTGGCGAAATGTGAGACATGTCATAGATGCTGGCATTTGTTAGCGGCGTCGAGAGTATGAAGTAATCCCCATAGAGGTTTAGAAGGCTGTCAGACAGCTCTTTGATGATCTGGTCTGCCAGCTGAGAAATATCATCTCCATTTTCGGCACATTCCACATAATCTTTGAAAGTTATCCAGTCTTGAAACTCATTTTCAGCTAAAACACCTGTTCCTTCCACAAGGGACGTCGTCGTTTTGCCGGGAGTTGACGAAGCTGTATCACTTGCCTGGGAAGAAGTGGAGTGTGAACTGCTAGAAGGCTGAATCGAACTGGGTAGCCCCTCGAGGCCGCGATTGTTCGGGCAATGGGGGAGGTTTAGTGAGCGCGGCTTCGCTTGCATTGTCTTCTCACACTCCATTTCTTCAAATGTGATGTACTCAAGAATTTCCGTCACATTGATGATCGAAGCAACTGCCAAACTTCGATCTCCCGGCTTTACTGTGTGTAATCGGTTGATTAGGGCGAGATAAATGACTTCATTCCCATTTTCGTCAATTTCATTGATGAAATCGGATATATTTCCCTCACTATGCTTGATGTTAAGGGACGATGGCGCGGTATCTTTTATTGCCGAAAATGCCCAGACATCCTCTGAGTTATAGATGACAGGAGTCCCTCTTGGCTTCGCATTGAAAACATAAAAGGCATTGAACTGATCCAAGGCGCTAACCAGCTCTCCCTCGTTGGCGAACGGCGGCCGCGTTCTTCGTATAGGAGACGTAAAGGCAGGTATCCTCCTAGGGCTCGAACCATACTTGGCTTGCGCATTCCCCGGGGGAATGGTAAAGGAGTTTCGTAGGTTCCCGATAGCCTTTACCCTTTTCAAAGACGACGGGACCATTGCCGCCGCGCCGTCGGAAGTCCGAATTTGCAAGGTAGAAGGAGTAGTTACCGTGTAAGAAGAACAACTCGGAAAATTATACAAGCAGCCATCCCTCGAGGCTACTACCGGGGGAGTCTCCTGCCCTTGTAAGCGAAGGGGTTGAACAGCTAATGAGCTGCGCTGTTGTTCGGAGATTAATAAATTAGACAGGGGAGTCTTACATCTCCAATAGCTACCCACAGCATCATGAAGCTGAGGTATCGGATTATTGGAGACCACAGTGTTCAAAGAAAGATTGCTTCTACTGATGTCAGTAGGGAACTGGGACAATGATACCAAGGAGAAAACTCCTAGGGAATCCGGATAGGGCGATCGTGGGCTCGAATTCTTTCGCAGAATGTCAACAAGCTGTGATGATTGTTTCGCTTTAAGGTATTGGAGCCTCAGTGCTTTAACTAACAATATGACCCAAGATGGCCACCGTCTTCCTCGGTGCCATCGGCGTCGACTTCGAGGGCCATTCGGGACCTGCTCCATGATTAAAACGTCCCGGTAAGATCCTAAGAAGCAAAACCACTAACCAATGTGGGATCACAATAACAATAGCTGCTGAGTAGGAAACTACTGAGTGCTAGGTGGTAAAAAGGATCTAGCAAGCTAGAAAGCCCCAGGCTGTTAAACATATCTCTCTGTGGTGAATCCATCGGCCATGTATATGGAGACTGATATTAAGAAGAGCCATAGTAGATTCTCAAGATGTATAATCCCACAATAGCTATCGTGATTGGAATCATCCCTGGGAATTCAACAGCATAATCCATAGTTATGAATGAGCCCTCTGCCAAACATGACAGAGAGAAGCACAAATACAGCACCATTCACAAAATGCCAGAATGTAAACATCCATTTTACCAGACTGTTTTGAAGCCGTAGTTCACTCAAGTGCTCATATTGGAGTAAGTTAGAACAGCTTCAGATTGTGAAGTCGTTGTCCACAAAATACACATCACGTGATGCACCAGCAAATGGGCATTTTTTCCCTGAACTTCCCGAACGTGCTGAGTCCTCGGCGAAGACGACCTTCAAAATCTCGACCGTCTCACCCGCAATTGACAGCTTGGTCGCGCACCCTGGGTTCATTCTTCGCATCGTCCGCGGTCGCCAGTTCTGCGGTTATTTTATTTTCACAATGCCGGTCGCCGCGTCTCGTCTTGCTCTGCGGCAATCGCGTTTGCTGATCCGCCGGTCTGCCTTCAGACAGAACTCAACCACCTCTGAGGCCGCTTCCAAAACGAAAGACGCTGCATCCTCAGCCGCGTCAAAGGCATCGGAGGGTTTATCGAAGGTAACGTCCACCGCGGGGCCTGCAATTGCGGGTGCGGTGTCTGGAGTTGGTAATGCTTTAAAGAGGGTTGGCGGACGAACGGGCAGAATGATCTCTTTCGTTGAATGTAAGGCCAACCCTAGAATATGCGTCTTGATAGAATTGCAGCTCCTTTACGGGCACAGCCTTTGAATTGAAATTCATTCTCCCTTGCATGGTTGCCCCGATAACGAGGCTAACGTCCACAGCCCTAATACCTCCTACGGTCTACTACTCTCGGGTGGCCATTGAGGTCACTAAGATTGTGTTCCAGACCCAAAAGATGGCACCGCCGTAAGTCCAACTCTGGATCCCGATGATTCAGGGAGGCCAATTGCTCACATGTCTTCAACTTGTCGCAGAAACCTCGCTACATTCCAAACCTATCTCCAACCTTTGCTCGCATCTCTTCGCAATCCTTCAGCGTTACTATCGAAACTTGACCCAGCCCCCTACTTTGGCCGCATCAGAAACATGGACCGTAAGCAACTTGCTTTCGTCGGCGTGACCGCCGCCGAGGTGATCGGATTTTTCTCTGTGGGCGAGATGCTGGGCCGATGGAAGATCGTCGGTTATAGAGGAGAGCCTGCTCATGATCATTAGAAGCAAAAGTTGCGAGTATGTTCATTTCGTACCTCTTTGTTATGCGTCGTTTCTTCTCTGTGTACCATAGACGATGCAGATAAAGGACATGTTTTCCGCATGACCAAAATCTTGTAAATGCAACTTTTTCCAATGTATTCGATATCTCTCACAATAATCCACTTCTTCAAGCTCCAGCTGCAATCGGCCAAATTCACCAGTTTCCCAGTCACGACGGGAGTACTCGGCAGCCAGGCCATAGTTATCAATCACGTGACCAACCTCGAAGTTTGAGCATCTGCGAGAATTTCCAATATGAAATAGTAGGATCGCGGCATCAAACTCATCGCAAGTTCGTACGCGCAAATGGACGCCTTTAAACTCCTGACCAGATCCACTAAATTTAAACCCGATTCTAAGACCGGATCACTATCGAGCTCTACCCACCTCCCCTCGGCAGGGCAAGCGAGCACTCCCCAATTGTTCCCTGAGAGGCAATTCACCGACGCAGATGGAACCAGAGGCATAAAACGAAAGAGAAATGGTGACGAGAGTATTTCGCTATCGAGTGACCTCGCAGTGCCGGATTTCTTTGGTTCAGGACAACCGGCTACAGCTTCTTCAACCCAACCATCGAAGGCGAAGCGGAACGAGAAGCGGACGGTGGATAGGGAGAATGATTTAAAGCAAGAGGGGAACAACGCTCCCATGTCGGAAGCGGAATGCAAATCTATTCTGAAAGCCCACAAAATCAAAGTCACCGATTTACGATCCTTTCCGGCCGATGAGGTTAGTGAAGCTGCTGATGGAAAAAAATCCAAACGGAAGAAGGCAAAAAGAGACCAAGAGCCTCCCGCTCCTTTAACACGAAAACAACAGAAAGCTGCGTTAAGGCTCTACCCCGAACCGTTAACGGACTTCGATCAACTCCGGGCAAAATATTTGATTTCAAGGCGGCTCTCTGAAAATATCTCCCACCAGGGATATACCGTTCCTACAGAGGTCCAACTAGGGTCACTACCATTGTTACTTGGAGGTGCACCAACATCGAGTAGACGGATCAAACCAGATGAAACGGCCAAGTCACTCTCAGAGCAGGAACCGGACCTCCTTGTCGTTGCCCCGACCGGCAGTGGAAAAACCCTCTCATTCATGATTCCCTTGATTAATAAAATAATAAAACATCATCATGCCAACCCGGGACTCAAAGGGATCCTTGCGATTGTACTTGCGCCTACAAAAGAACTGGTCGCTCAGATTGTGAATGAGGGGCGGAAATTGACCGCCGGCACCGGAGTAAAAATAACAGCAATGCGCAAAGGGATGCGCGTTGTGGAAGGGGCACAAAATATAAGATCTCTGGAAGAAGAAAGCGAAGATGATGAGGATGTCGTGTCCAGCGACGGTGAGCTTCACGCAATTGGAGGGAATAAAGAAAAAGCCATACCTCTTACAAGAAGCGACATACTCGTGTGTACTCCTCTTCTTTTGGCAAATGCATTGTCCCAGGACGAGGCAGGGGACATGGCATCCTTACCCTCTGTGAAAACACTAGTGTTGGATGAAGCCGACGTTCTCCTTGATCCTTTATTCCGAGAACAAACCTTGGAGGTATGGAAAGCATGTACCTGTCCTCAGCTAAGAGTTGGATTGTGGTCCGCAACAATGGGTTCGAATATCGAAGAACTTGCAAAAGCCACCATCAAAGCGCGCCAACAATCCCTTGGACTAAAGGACGAGTCATTCCTCATTCGTCTTGTGGTGGGACTGAAAGATACCGCTATTCCCAATATCTCGCACAAACTTGTCTATGCGGCAACGGAACAAGGCAAGCTTCTTGGGCTACGCCAACTACTCCACCCAACCGCTGCAAGCAACTCTACCACCCGTCTTCGGCCACCGTTCTTGGTCTTCACACAAACCATCTCCCGCGCCGTTGCGCTGCATTCGGAACTCATGTACGATATTCCACCGGAAGCAGGGGGGTCTTCGCGTATCGCTGTTCTCCACTCTGAGCTTTCAGACTCTAGACGTTCTGATGTAATGGCTGGGTTCCGAAAGGGCGAGATTTGGATTTTGATCACTACCGACTTGTTAGCCCGTGGGGTTGACTTCAAAGGAATAAACGGCGTGGTGAACTATGACATCCCCAACTCTAGTGCTGCATACGTTCATCGTGTTGGGAGAACAGGACGTGCGGGCCGCGATGGTGGCGTAGCAGTGACGTTTTACACTAAAGAAGATATCTCGTATGTTAAAAACATTGCAAATGTCATCTCAGCGAGCGAAAAGTTACGCGGGACGGAAGAGGGCGAACGCATCCCGAAATGGCTTCTTGACGCTCTCCCGAGTCTCTCGAAGAAAGACAAAGAAGATTTGAAGAGACACGGTGTCAAAACTCGGAGGCCCATGGCAACCAACGACGGGTCCGCAGCGAAGAAATCAAGGATCAGTACCAAGAGTGGGTTTGAGAGGAGAATAGAAAATAAGCGGAAAGGCGCGATTAAGGGAAGTCAACGGCGGAAGGCGAAGGAGCAGTCTAGTGAAGTGGATGAAGGGCAAGATGTTTGGAATGGCATCGAGGACTGATGAGACACTTTTGAAAGTAGGATCCATGTTTCTCAGGAGGCGTTCAGCCAGTTACCGCTATGCATTGATGATTGCTAATCTAAATCTATAATCTAAAAAAATCACAAGAACCATTTTATCTATAACTTCATAAGGGCATTATCATTGGTTTGTTCTGTGTTAATCCGCCTCCCACGTCCAGACAGACCACCAGCAACGGACCTCGAGAGGTGAGCCATCTTTACTTTCCCAGTCATCGTGTCCAGTTTCTTCGCCGTCTGCTAGAATCATCAGCCCGATTCTACGCATCCTCTTTTTGAGCTCATTCACTTGCGACAGGTAGGCGTCCCGGAGAGGCATCTCAAGTACAACCCTTGATTCCCTTCCGGGACGAAGCCATCGCTGAATGGTTTGGACTAACCACCGCGGATGGTCTGGCGAGTACAGCGGATCAGCAGCAAGAATAATATCGTATTTTTCACGATTTTCCGGTTCAGCTTGGCCTTGTATCGACCAATCCAGGACGCCTGTAGTGACCGCTGACCCCGTCTTTAGCAAAAGCTCGTGGTTCAAGGATACGTTATGGGCCAGGTTCGGTACAATCTCTGGTAAATCAGTAAGGTGGACAGAAGCAGCAGAGCCCCACAAAGACGCAAATGCGATGCCCACCAGGCCGGTCCCGGCACCCAATTCAAGCGCCTGAAGGGGTCGAACGTCATTGTACGTGGAAAGGAGCAATTCCAGTGGCGGCAATAGAAACTTTCCAAGGCGCCTAGCAAGCAGATATGATGATACCCAAGTCTTCATGCCCAAATTGTCCGAAGTGAGAGACGGTTCATGTAGGGTCACCGGAAAGTCTGTGGAGTCGGTCATTGGGATTTTGAAAACCCGGGATATCGATGGTAGGGCTATTGTTGACATAGTTAGATGGAGTTATCCTCGCAGGGCATCTTCTTCGAATGCGCACCTGTCCTTCCGGAGCGCTCACACAACCTGGTACTAGCTGCGTCCCATATCGACTCGCGCAACTCGTCCGAATCGAGCCAGGAGAGGGCGCTGGATATAATGCCGGTCAGGTACTGCGCAACACCGGCAGGGTCAATCCGGCTGTGGATAGAGGTTTCATCGCCAAATGTGCGAGGCTGAACTGCTAGGCGGTCTAAAGCAAGAAGTATTTCTGCAGCGGCCGGTTTGGTGTACAGCTGCGGCAGATCGAACACTAGATGGAAACGCGGACGTTATTAGTTCTTGCAAGGTTTTGGTTGACTAGTGAGCCCCAAGATTCAGGGGAAGTAGGTAGTGTACCATGCAGAGGCGGGAGGTCATCGTCCATGGTAGGTATGAAAGTAGATCGTTGGGATTGTCCACAGGCCCATGGCAGTTGTTTCTTCAGCAAAAATTTTCAGATTGGAGGAGAAGAAGCTTTTCCACCCGCCTTAACCTGGCCCAAATGCAAAAAAAATTAGATGAAAAAAAATTTCTTCAAGTGCGCACGACCGGATTCGAACCGGCGATTTCCGCATGTCATATTGATACGAGTGCGACGCCTTACCGCTTGGCCACGCGCGCCACTTTTACTAAGCGCCCTGGAGTTGCGGAATCTTTTCCACCAGTTCAATAGGCGGTCGCCAGGGAAGGGACGTTGACGAATCATTGATATTGAGACTACTCCGGCTGCAAGCTATAATCCCCCTTGAGAAGTTGTCAGTATAAGCTTCATATAGCATACTAAAAGTTCATGCTAGCATTTTGGAGTTGCTTGACGTACTCCGTACTTCATGCGTCTCTCCTCTACGGAGTACATTCCATCCCTTCCAAACATACATGTCAAAACGACGCTTCACACCTCTCGTAAAAGGCTCACATGCCCACAGCAACGTGATCAGAACTCGGAGAGCCCTAAGCACCAGAGCTGAAGTCGATTGTATGGCGCTACAGCTTGCTGATACGGCTGGCCCGCTGATAATATATGTACATAGCACACGGGTCCGAACGTTAACCCATTCATCAGTTCCTTCTGTTATCGCGGCACTCAAAAGCCCAAGGTAAGCCTGTAACAGCCCAAAAAAGGCCTTCCCTAAACTCAGCTCAGTGTGGCCTTGAATCCTTGATATGCTTGTTCGATGTCGAAAGAAAGTTCTCGGGCTTGGTCTTCGGCCAATTCTTCTGTAGCTCTCATCTGATTCAGGGTAATAAGCCACTGAATGATTTTTCCTCTATTCTCAAAATCTTCATCTGTCACTTTGTTAACAGACTGGATGACTTCTGAAAGTAACGGATGTAGAGCATCCTTCGAAACCATGTTGAGCTTCAACGCATCCAAAAATGTTATAAAGTTTTCCGTCGCAGCTAGAATAAGGCTACCAGACGCAGAACCGGTGGCGAGAGCTTGGGAAGGGTTGTGGGAGGGCTGCTCTACCGTCGCAGGAAGGCCTATCCGAAGCCGTTCAGTGGCCCTTGGACATTCCAGCTATGGACGCACTTGTAAGCGCATAAGAAAATTAACGAACGCAACGAGTATTTTACCCCCCATGCGCGCTTGAACGTATCTAAATCGACGAATTCTTTGAGAACGTTTTCATCGCTCAAGCTCGACTTGTACTGTTTTAAAAGTCTGGCACAAGTGTCCGTATATTCGGATTCGGTAACCGCATCCTTGATATATGCCTTTTCCAGCCCATCTAATGTTAAGATGATACTGTATATTTCTGCAAGAGACTCGTAGAGATCCCGCTCCGCAGGCGTCGACGAAAGCTTGACTTCCTAACAGCTCATCAGCACCAGACCAGGAGCCGCAACACAAAGCGGAAAGAAGAGAGCGAAGACACACCTCATCTAGGCTTATAGAAGCTGAGAGAGCTGGGTTGGGAGTATAGCTGTAAGGAGTCGGCGCATAGGACAGCGGCCGTTGAGAATACATTGTGCTGGTGATGAGGGATGTCCGCATTGCAACTACGCCGTAGTTAGTTAGTCTCACTGGCCTCACATGGTCCGTGCGGGAACTGACTTCGAACCGCCAAAAAAATCGACTCGTCGATCTGGAAACACTTGAACGTTTGCCCGTTGCAACACAATTGCCTCGACTGGCTGCTCTACATAGCTTAAGCAGCTACAATGGCGGGCTCTGCGAAGAAAGCGACCAAGAAGTTTGGGAAGAAGCACCTCAGGGACACCATTGATCGCCGAAGGGAGTTCACAAAGATCAAACAGCGGCATCAGCTCCAGGACAAGAAAAAGGCTAAGAATGCAGCGAGACAGGCTGCCCAAGCAGATGAAAATGGAGCTGGGGAAATAGCTGAAAAAGAAAATGGATTCGCAGCGATGGATGTCGATGACTTTTTCGCCGGCGGCTTCGATATCCCGGGAAGCAAAACCAAAGAAACGGTCGAAAGCCAAGGACGTTTCCGCCGCAGACAGGGAAACGGAAGAGGGAGGAGCATAACGAGGATGATAAAACATCTGAAGGGAGGTGAAGATGAAGGAGCTCGGGACGAGGACAGTGCCGGTGATAGCGGGTTCGAAAGCGAGGCCGGAGACCTCGACGCTCACATTGGCGAACTCGAAGCCCTCAAGGAGAAAGATCCCGAATTCTACAAATATTTGAAAGAAAATGACGCTGAACTCCTGGATTTTGGGGAGCATGGCGATCTCGCCGAGGTAGACGAGCTAAGCGAGAAAAGTGAAGTAGAATCGCCGCGAAAGAAAACGAAGAAAGGGAAGCCGGAGGAGCAGAAGTTGGACAGAAATCTACAAATCTCCACTGTTCATCAATGGCAAAAATCAATGCTCCAATCCAACTCGTTGAGAGCCACTCGCCAGGCTGTCCTGGCCTTCCGAACGGCTGCGTATGGAGACGAGACCGATTCGCAAGACCGCAAGTTTACCATCTCTGACCCCGAGGTATACCATCAAGTGCTTGTTACCGCTCTAGAACACGTTCCAAAGATTTTGAACCATCATATACCTATTAAGGAGACGGCGAGTGGAAAAGTTAGAGTGTCGCTGGAATCCGGGAAGTTTAAGGCCTTGACACCTCTCATCAAATCGCATACCTCGTCGATACACGAACTTTTAACGAATTTATCCGACGCCGCCGCATTGAGATTGACATTGTCATCGGTAACTCCGATGCTTCCGTACCTTTTGCAATTTCGAAAATTACTCAAAGTTTTGATTAAAGCGATTGTGGGACACTGGTCAGAGTCTTCTAACTCAGAAGCCACCAGAATATCGGCTTTCTTAGTACTCCGCCGATTAATGGTGATTGGAGATGCTGGCATTCGTGAGGCTGTCTTGAAATCGACGTATGAAGGGATCATCAAAGGGAGTCGAAACACCACCGTGCATACCCTGGCTGGAATCAATCTAATGAAGAACTCTGCAGCGGAGCTTTGGGGTCTAGATCAAGATATCGCATACACTACAGGGTTCACGTCTATCCGCCAGCTGGCGATTCATTTGCGAAGCAGCATTACGAATCCCACAAAGGATTCCTACAAGAAAGTCTACAATTGGCAGTATGTCCACTCGCTCGACTTCTGGTCGCGTGTTTTGTCCGCACATTGCGATTCCATTGTAGAGGCCAAGGCAGGCAAACAATCTGCGTTGCGACCCCTTATCTACCCGGTTGTGCAAATTATTGTCGGGGCAATGCGCCTAATCCCTACCGCACAATATTTTCCCCTGCGTTTCCAGATGAGCCGTTCTCTCCTTCGTCTGTCTCTGGCAACCGGAACATACATCCCTCTCGCCTCCGTTTTGTTAGAAGTACTTCAATCTGCGGAGATGAAAAGCCCTCCAAAGGCAAGCACAATGAAACCACTGGATTTTTCGACCTGTATCCGCGCACCAAAGGCATATTTGCGAACCCGCATCTATCAGGACGGTGTTGCCGAAGAGGTCTCGGAACTATTATCGGAGTTCTTTGTTCTGTGGACAAAAAACATAGCGTTCCCCGAGCTTTCCTTACCTACGGTGGTCATGCTTAAACGGTGGTTGAAAGAGGTTTCTTCTCGTTCGCTAGGAAATAAGAACGTCAAAATCAACCAAACGTTTGTTTTACTGGTACAAAAGCTGGAAGCTAATAGCCGTTGGATCGAAGAGCGGAGGTCAAAGGTTACGTTCACGCCCAAAGACCGTGCAGAAGTGGAGCGCTTCTTAAAAGACGTTGAATGGGAGTCGACGCCATTAGGTGCCTTTGTTAAGACCCAACGAGCGCAAAGAACAGAACGGGCAAAATTGCTCGAGAGAAGTCGGAGAGAGGAACGCCAAAGAAAGGCGGAAGAAAGCGAAGAAGCGGACCAGGCTATGACAGATGTTGACAGCGAGGATGAAGCATCGAGTGAGGCTGCCTAACAGGTATGCTTCTCTTTCGTATTTGTTAGATTAGTTACGGTGACAAGCTCAATGAACAATTCTTGTATTGATATTCAATTCGCGGTGCCCAAGGCGCTTGGGGTTTACGATCTTGTTTTATTCCTAGGACTTCAACAATGAAGGACACCATGGGGCACACTGCTGCTTGCATGCGAGGCTGATTTACACTTCCCTGAAGGGATATCGGCTAAGGATCGTCCTCATCCTGCTTCAAACCTGAGCAGCCGAAACGTCTTGTTCTCTTCCGGCTTCTGATTACTATCAACTCATACAAATGTCCATATACCTGAAACTGTTTACTTGGTTGATATCTTGTCTTCCAAGCCATTCCTTTCACTCGTCCCGCCTCCATTGTTTGTCAAATCAAGGACAATGGCCAGCCGGATACCGAAAGGAAGCCCGCTTTATCCGATTGTTCTTTTGTGTCCCCTTTGAGCCGCCATCTGCTTTCACTAGCAAATACGACGTTTGTCCATATGGCCGCACGAGTTATCCCATACGGCGTCTATAAGTACGCGCTTTTCTCCGAGACTAAAATCTGGAAATAAGCATCATCATTTATTCCGAAATTATCGTCATTAGCGACACTTCGCGACTCGTTCCCAACATGTCCTCCGGCAAAGGGGGGCCCAATAACGGCAGTAACGCACCCGGACCTCCAAAATGCTGGGCTCAAGCTCTTGCAACCGCGCCGAACCCCAGTGAATCTGAGGCTGAAGCCGCTGACGATGGATTCACGGTAGTTCAGCACGGGCGGAATCGGAACGGTCGGGGTCGGGGTATTACCGGCCCTGGTGGTGATCGTGGGAGGGACCAGATGGGCGGATCCCAGTTTGGTGATACGCGACGCAATGAACCAAGTAGAGGTCGCGGAGGACCCGGAGGGCGAGGCAATAGCCACAGCCGTGGAAGCGGTCAGGGGTCGTACCATCAACGATCGGACAACAATCCCCAATATAACAACCAAGGTTATAATAGGCCATCCAACGATCAAGGCAGCCGTGGAGCACACAGGGCGCAGCGTGGTGGAAGGGCTCCTGCTCCGCTATACAAGTATGTTCCATCCAGCAGGCAACACATTTGCATCTGCATTTTCTGACGAAGCGATCTGCAGGGATATAAAAACAACTCTTCAACATGCCCCATCTCAGGGGATCGCGGCCCTAGAAAATAGTATCATTGAAAAGAATCGAGATAAATTGGCGGCCAAGCTCGGAAACCTGAAGCTTGCAGAAAACAAGTTGTCACTGCCAATGAGACCTGGCTATGGGAATTGCGGCAAACCCGTGGGCCTTTTCTCGAACTACTTTGAGATCAGCGGCGTCGATAAACTTGTTCTCTACGAGTTCAATGTCCAGCTCCAGGAGAATATGTCTCTCCGTATCAAGCGGCGTTTATTTACGTTACTGCTGAGAGAAAAGCCACTCTGCGATGAATCCGTGGCCACGAATTACGTGGACAAACTCATTTGCACGAAGAAGCTCGACCCACAAGTTATTTTCGTCAATTATCACGAAGAAAATGAAACCCATACTCAGAACCATGCGGTTACTCTTCAGTATAGCCGAACATACCGGCTCAATGACTTGCTAGCTGACCTCCAATCACATTCTGAGCTGTATCAAAAGGAGGAAAAGAATATGGTGATTCAGGCGTTAAACATGACCGTGGCACGATTTCCGAACAATACCAGAAGAATCCAGTACGTTGGCCAGAGCAGACATTTCTTCCTTGACGTTGGCAACCAGAATCTCGCACTGGGGCGTGGTCTAGAGGCACGACGAGGGTTTTTCCATTCTGTCAAGACCTCAACTGGTCGGCTGCTCCTAAATCTCAACGTATCAACCGCCGCATTTTACCGGGCGGGAAATCTGAAAGACGTTACTGAAGAAGTAGTTCCGATAACAAAGGCAATTGGGGACCAGGTGGAAACCGGAAGACTTGAGAGATTTCTAAAAAAGCTTCGCATCAATACCAAACATGGGAAACGATCTCAAGTCAGAACTATCTTTGAAATCGCAAAGTTGAAAGACGAATCAGTTGCTATGCCCTCGCAAGTTAAATTCTGGTGGGCGCAAGGACAACCTGCGAGACATATCACCGTGAGTGACTATTTCAGAATGCGTAAGCCACAAAATACCGTCCTCACCGTCAGTATCTATTGGTGCTAACGCTTTTTTAGAGTATAATGTACGTCTCGCAGCCCAACAAATCGTCGTCAATGTCGGGTCTAGAGACAAACCATGCTATCTCCCCGCGGAATATTGCTCGATTCTCGAAGGTCAAGTCGCCCACCAGAAGCTTCATCCAGAACAAACCAGCAACATGATCAAGGTTGCTTGTCGTAAACCCACCGAAAACGCACTGGACATCTCAAGCAATGGCTTGAAATTGATGGGACTCGACCAAAGAAACGGACCGGTAAGCTTTTGCTCTCGATTTTAACAACTGTTGCTAATGACTAGCTAAATCTCGGCGTATAGAAGGAGAAGTTCGGCATTCAGATTGCGAATGAGTTGCTTGCTGTAAAAGGCATCGTTCTTGATCCTCCGCAACTAAAATACAAGTCGAATTTTAGCCCGGTAACGACTAATGGAGCCTGGAACTTTTCGGAATTTTACCTGAAACAACCAGGCGTACTCCCTGGCCGTAACCCCGTTGGATATCTTATTATTGGGAATTTGCGAAGCGATCCGTCCAGATTTTTGGCGAAATTGAAGGGCACCCTGTTGGATTATAACATCAACTGGCGAGACGGCCCCCTCAATTCCAAAAATACCATATGGGTACCGCACGATAAGAAGCCAAATGACAAAGACTACGAAAATGCGTTCCAAGAATTCCAGAAGCTGGGGACCCCTTTTGTTGTTGCGCTGTTACCAAAGTACGACCAGCAGATATACTCGCTTGTGAAACATCAAGGCGATATCAAAACCGGGATTCCCACTGTGTGTGTCGTGGAAAAGCCCATCAAAGACAAACAAACCAATACCAGCTATGTTGGTTTGAAAGACGATGAAGGTACCTTGAGGAATATCTCCCTGAAAGTCAACCTCAAGCTGGGAGGTATCAACCACGAGATCACTAGTCGACAGGAGATACGCAACATTATGCAGACAACGATGTTTATTGGTATTGATGTCACTCACCCAACCGGAACAGAATCTCAATCCGACGCCCCCAGCATTGCTGCCGTCGTGGCCAATACCGATCCAACCCTTTCTCAATGGCCGGCGAGTATAACAACTCAGGGACACCGCAAGGAAATGGTGGAAGATGACCTCTATAGCATGGTGCTTGCACGACTTCGTGTATGGAAAAATCAGGATCTACTACCAGAGCAGATTCTTGTGTATCGCGACGGTGTCTCTGAGAGCCAATACCAAGAAGTCCTTGATAAAGAGCTTGTTCAAATCCAGGAAGCAGTGAAGCAGTACTATAAGACGCGGAGACTCCCAAAGATTACCCTGCTTATTGTCGGAAAGAGACATCATACTAGGTATTCTTCTTCTCTTTCCCTCCCACGTCCACCTCCACTATTACATTCTCAAATCTAACCACGAGAGTATAGATTCTATCCGTGGGACCGGTCCAACGCCGATGGTAATTCCAACGTCGTTCCTGGCACCGTTGTTGACCGCTACTGCACCATGGAACGCAACTTTGACTTCTTCATGGTCTCCCACGCAGGTATTCAGGGCACCAGCCGTCCGGCTCACTACGTTGTGCTCCACGATTCCAACAATTTTAGCGCCAACCAGCTCCAGAGCATTGTAAGTCGGCCAGCCCCCCTTTTTCTTTCCCTTGCCAAACTAACTGATGCTTGCACAGACCCATGATCTCACGTATGTTTACGGCCGCGCTTCACGGGCGGTTTCCATCGCGACTCCGGCGTATTACGCCGATATCGTGTGTGAGCGTGGTAGGTGCTACCTGTACTCTGTTTACAATAACGCTTTGCCCGGGGAGTACTCGGGGAGGAGTGGCTGGATACGTGGTGTCCATTCGAATCTGACAAACACGATGTTTTATATTTGAAATTTCTTTAGGTCTTGCAAGAGGAGGGACGTTTGAGCATTGGACGATCTACATGAATAAACAGAGTTATTGGTATAGATAGACTATAGGTCATTCATTGCGAA